AGGCTTGGTTTATGCTTGACGCATTTACTTTCCACTTGGTGATGCGGCTCGCGGATGGAACGCGCTTCACAACTAGCAGCGTTTATGGTTCATGCGGCTTGTCTCTGCGGTGAGCCAATATTCTCCCAAAATGAACGGGGCAGCATGGAGCTCTACGGCATGCATCCAACACTACACCATAGTAGAAGTAAAAATGACTGTTGTTTACAACATGGCATTCCAGCATTTTTAACAGCGTCCTCATCTTTTCCGACAGTGCGAGCTATTTCTCTCCAAGAATTAATAACAACATGTTGATCACGGTGATCTTTGAGAGCTGAATCGTACAAATGTCTGTATTTACGAACCTCTGCCATACTAGTTCTTGCCAGTCCGCCATGTTTTTCCGCGTCCGACCATCTGCATGGTTAGAAAATTTCCTAGGTGCATAGTGCAGAAAGTTTGGACCATGCGAAGGCGTGGTGGAGGGTCGTGGTTGTTTAAATGACGCAATATTGCCGCGCGGAGCCGTGCAAACCTCGCGGACGCCTCAAGCATAAACCAAGCTTAAGACTCTATTACAGCGGTTCCCAAACTTATTTAGCCTCGCACCCCCTTCTATGTCCCGACCATGTCAACGTCCCCCCCCCAGCCCATCAGACGTCAAGCTAAACAGTCACTCGACAGACGGTTAAAATAATATGATCGAGCTTTTTCCGGAGTCACTGGCTGGAGCGGACCCGACTTTAATACGTCATCCCAAAATAGAAGCTAATATCTCAATTTGACCTGGAATGAAAAATGTTGTTAAAGTTTTTATCACGGAGGCAGCTCTCATTTCTGCCTTCAGTCTGACGGCGCGCCGGAGTTTGCGCAGCGCGCGCGCTTATTGAATCTGTGTGTGTGTGTGTGTGTGTGTGTGTGTGTGTGTGTGTGTGTGTGTGTGTGTGCGGCACAGCTCCATGAGCCGCTCAAGTCACCGCGTCTCGTTATTGGCGCTATTTAAACCAATGTTGTAAAATTACTTCTGCCCAGCCCGGATGTGCTCACTTGTGCACCCGTGAGCCGTGGTTCCGCTGGAACGCGTCTGACCTCTGACAGACGCACTCTGAACTTCAGATCTTCAGCGCGATGTTAATAGCCTGAATGTGAATTATTTCCTGATTTATTTTGTTACATCCACAATGTTCTGTGTGTGAGGTTTACAATGTCAGAACACCTGCATGAGACAGGGTGTTAATTACAATCTACCAGAATGACTCACCACCTTCAGATTCCTCCAACACCGTTAAAAATGATCAAATACGGAACATATCGGCGTGCGCAGGCCAGAGTGCTGAAGCTCGGCTCGGCGCATTGTTGTTATGAAGCTAGGGCACATGCGGAGGACACACACACGCACGCACAAAAATATACTTGTTTTAAATTACATTTATTGGGCCCAATTACATTTTCTTAGGCCCACCCACAAATGAGTTTCTGGCTACGCTAATGGTGACATATGACAGACTTCTCTGAGCTCCGCAGCCATTACACTTTTCACCTCGTGCACCCCCTAGCGGCAGACTTAGGGAATCCCTGCTCTACTAAAACCTGGATGGCTGGGAACTTTCTACAGCTGAATGAAGATAAGACTGAGATCCTCATCTGTGCCCCAGACAAGCTGGTTCCCAAAATCAGAAACTCTCTTGGTCAGCTTGCTCAAGGGCGGAAATCCCATTTCAATTTTGGGGGGGACAGTAAACAGTAAAACTTCAGAGAGTAATTTTTGAGGGGGGACATGAAAAAAATGCTCTCTACATACAACACTGTATGTCCTTATAAGAGACTGACCTGAGACTCTGTACCTGTGTCTGACAGGCTCTGGCTGCCTGTGCTCAAGTGACTGGACTATGCCTAATGAAACCATTTAGAAACAATTTCATAGTTATTTCATTTCTTTCTTATAGATGTCTTTATCAAAATGCAAGTTTCTACTTACTTGACGTTCTGGAGCATTAAAAAACGACCTGATGTCTGCCGTTTTTCGTTTCTCTGCCATTTCAACTGACCTGGTCTGCTGACAGTTGGACAGCAACACACACACAGATGGGATATTGTCATTAGAACGGAGCTGGAGGATATTGATTTGTACATCTCCATAAGCATCCTTTCTTTTTGTTTTCATTTCAATAACAAGACTGTGGCCTAAAACGGAATAAGCAATTCAGAATAAAGATTTAAAAGTAGATCGTCAATAGTTGAAGCAACATGTCCTGAAATGACATGGCTATTAGCTGACCAACAGCTACACGTGCGGACCGATGTAAAGCATTAATTTTAAGTACTAAAACATATCTAACTTTTTCACAACAAAGAGAGAGAACATAAATGCCAAATTAAAATTTTATTAAATCACATAACATGAAAGCTACTAAAATCCAAATAGTTTCATATTGATTTTAATATATTTCAAATGTTCCTTCTAAATATGGCTAGAAAAAATAACAAACTTCAAATCAGCTTTCACAAGTCAAGTATCAAAATGACTGAAATCTCTTTAATAAATCATAGAAATGTTTGTAGGCTATTAGAAAATAACTCTGTAATATTTAATAACTTTATCTAAGTCCTACTGAACGAAAAGATACACAAAATCTAAAAATATATTCTTGAAATATTTGTTTCATTTTAATAATAAAAATTAAAAACATTTGATTTAAAAATACACTAAACATATACATACTCTATAGTTTATCTTTCAGTTTAATCAATCTCTCACTTTTCTCAGTTTTCATAGTGTTTTTGGGTCTGTGTGGCCAACGGGATCTTTGGCTCTACGTTTTACACTGAGAGCTTTGAGCAACGTGCCTCCACCACACATTTGCTGCAACCAGTTCATCCCTAAGCTGCACGGTGCACCTGCACTTTGACATATTGTAAACAACTGCAGAGCCTGGGGAAGACGGGATAAGAGCGGTTAAACGCTGTGGTATTCCATACATCTGACCAGTTAGTTTTGATTCTACCATATTCATCTGCTAAATAGGATGAAACGCGGACATTTTCATCGATCTATAAATGCTCCGCAGATTCCAGGGGCAGACCGTGAAAGCGTACGTGTCCGGAAAAAGGAACTTTTGGTCACCTTAGTGAATGGAATAATAATAGCAGAATAATGCTGGAATGACTAGAGAACATGAAGTGACAACTTTTTTTTTACTGTGGTGGTGGTGGTCTGTCATAAAGGGATCTCCGACCGGTGATCAAAATCTAAAGATAATCGGTGTCTATGTTTGACATTTATGACCACATTTGACACACATATTTAAGTTTGTAGAACAAGTGTGTGATAAATGACTTACTGCTGGAAACCGCTGGCTTTTTGATCCCCACCTCCTGTGAGCCTGCGGGCTGCTGTGAAGCTGTGAGCGAGGCAAAGCCGGCAGCCCCGCCCGTTGGAAACAGCATGTGTAGACCGACCGTACCAACTTGAGGAATTGGGGGGGGGAGGGGGGGGGGGGACTATAATTTCTCAACAATTAAAAACACATTGTTTTGTATTTGCAGACTACCTTTTACGTTGTGGTTTTAGAAGAAAATACAGGTTTACTGATAGCATTTATGTGTTTATAATAACTTTTGGGGGGGGACGACAACTTTGTGTGAGGGGGTAACGCGTCCACCCCCCGTCCCCCTGGCATCTCCGCCTATGAGCTTGCTTCTCACACCAAAACCTCCATCAAGAATCTTGGTCTGACCTTTGACCCAGCTCTCACCCTGGATTCTCATGTCAGTTCTCTTGTTCGCTCTTCCTTCTTCCATCTCAGGAACATTGCTAAGCTGAGTCCCATTCTGTCTCACTCTGAACTTGAGACAGTTATCCACACCTTCATCTCCTCACGCTTAGACTACTGTAACTCTCTTTTCACGTGTCTGAGCAGAACCTCCCTGAAACGTCTACAGTTGGTTCAGAATGCCTGTGCTTGGCTTCTGACCAAGTCCTCCAAACACACCCACATCACCCCGCTTCTCCTCCAGCCTCATTGGCTACCAGTCAACTTCAGGGTTAATTTCAAGATCCTGATTCTGTTCTACAGGGTCCCACATGGACAAGCACCACCATACATACCGTAAATCCTCTAATATTAGCCTGTATTTAATTAACTGCCGGGTATCATATTTTGGCTGGTGTCGGAGTCGGCGGAGGTGAATAATGGCCGGTTTTTTATTGTGGCCTGGTGAAATGTGGTAACAAGCAAGTACGGGGGGGGGGGGTTGTGTCATCCGTCTCACTTTTGATTTGCCAGTGATAGACCGTGAGGGTAACTTTAACCGTGCGGAGACGAAGAGGAGGCGAAAATTTGATATCAAGAAATTTAGGCCTGCCTCTAATTCTGGTCCTCCTTCCAATGAAGGCCTGGAGCTTGATGAGCTTGAGTCAAATACAGGCCCGGGCCTGTGTTAGAGGATTTACGGTGTGTGATCTTCTCAGTCCCTACACCCCCAGCAGGTCCCTGAGGTCCAGTGATCAAAGCCTACTGGTTGTGCAGCACCAGGCTAAAGACCAAAGGTGACAGATCATCTGCTGCTGTGGCCCCCAGACTCTGGAACTCTCTCCCCTTGAGCCTGAGATCAGTGGACTCAGTGGTCTCCTTTAGAAAGCAGCTGAAAACTCACTTGTTCAAGCTGGTTTTGGTGTGACCTTCATCACCCTCTCCTTGTTCTGCTCTCCCCACCTATTCCACCTTCCTCAGGATACACTGATTTCCCTCTTTCCTATTCACTCTCCCTCTTTCTTTACATTTTTAATCACAATTGTATATCTTTTTGCTCATTTGAAATTTATTTTTAATCATTTTCTAAATTCATTTTTACATTTTACATTTTTTGTTTTTGCGAAGCATCTTGTGATTTTTATCTTGAGAGGCGCTGTAGAAAAGATCTTTTCTTCTTCTTCTTCTTCAAGATGTCCTTTCCATATAGGGAGCGTAAGCCTCCTCCCTTTCCGGTCATCTATTGGGTCCCCGAAAGTACGAAAAAATTAATGCAAGTGAATGGGGTTTAAACAGTTATTTTCTAATGAGCCTTGCCTTGCATCCTGAATCACACATGTTGTACTTCAATTTAAATGAAAAGTAATGATGTGTCAATGTAAAGGCTCTGTGAAACAAGATAGTGTTCAGTTTTAAATAATCTGATCTGAGTTGTCATGAATTTGTCCTCTTGCACTTATTTTCTCCAAAATCATTGACTCTGACAGACTGTCCTTTTTTCTTTGAGAAGATCAGAGAAGACAGTGTCCAACACAATGTTTAAAGCTTGTCTACTTCATCTATAAAAATAAGGAAATGACAATAGATTTGATTTCTATGGGTCTTTGAAAGCATCCTAAGTGCTACGCCATTAATCCATTATTCATACACTCTGGTGGGGAGAAAATACTTTGTAACCACGGTTGCCCTAGGGAAGTCTGAGGCTGCCTTGCACCTCTGACCTACCAACAATCACACCTCAAAATGTGTAAATGTATTATGATTTACACATTTAATATAAAATGGCTATTAATATTTTCCAAGGCAGTGTTTACACTATAGTCAGCGACTCACCCATACTATCATACAGTGATGGATGGTGATAGGCAACAATATATCCACAGTAGAGATGTGCACTTTTATCAGTCCAACCATTTTTTGCATAAAACTAAAATATTAGAAATTGTTTTAATGACACAACTTTTACAAACAATGCAATTGGTGTACCAATAATATTGGCCAATATCAGCATTGAAATGTAAATTTGGAAAATATTGGTATTGGTTTTCATTCTGACCAACCTTTTACATACCATACGCATATTATACATCAAGCTCTTCAGCTACCTCTCGTCTCTCTCTCAAAATGTAAAAATATTACAAATCTGATGTCTAGTTTTTGAGATGTCAATATTTGCTGAACTATTCATTTCTTTTTTCTCTACGTTTTTCTGCTCATTTTCAGTTTCATTAAAGTTCAAATCACTTTTATTGGTAAGTTATTCACCTTTTACCCCAATACTATCAAATTGTGCCACAGCCCTGCATGTTATAGGAGTTTCCCTTCTCCAACACACCTGATTCAGTGACTGAATCACCCCTCCAACACGTTCTCAAGTTTTTCAGAAGCCTGTTAATCACCAATTGGTTCAAATCATGTGTCTTGGAGCAGGTACACAGAAAGCATGCAAGTAGAGACCCTAAAGGAGAAAGACTGAATGTCCTACCCTGTAAAGCAATTAGACAACCCTGTTCTGATGTGAGCAATAGACACCCAACGTAATGATTCATCTGTTATCTATTTCATTCGTGTTGTGAAATGAAACTTTGGAAATAAAAATAAATGCAGAGATTGTATTATTTTGTCAGTTGTCTCATTTATTCTTCAATTCAAACCTGTTTCTACAATACATTGACATCACAAGAGAAGGGCTGCAAAATCTGAAGTGAAACAATGTGTTTAAGAGATTTCCTGAACCAAGGATAAAAAAATGCATAGATCATTGGGTTCAGACAAGAGTTAACGTAAAACAGCCAAATTCCAAAAACTGAAAACTGAGTACTGAATGACATATCTTCTCCTGCCAGGGAGGGATAATAATAAGGACAGAAACAAATTAGAAACACCAGCACAACAACACCGAGAGCTGTAGCTGCTTTTCTCTCTGACTTCTTAGCAGTTACAGGAACTGAACCGTGCAGAGTGACAGATGCAACATGAGACCTCATGGCTCGAGCCTGAGACACCGCCACCACAAATACTCTCATGTACAGAACTATGATGACTGTGATGGGGCCAATGAAGGTCAAAATGACATCAAAAACACCTGTTTGAAAATCAATCACAGCTGTGCACTCTCCAACACATGAGTTATATCTGTCTGGATTGTTCAAGTGGTCCTTCAGTATCAGTCCATTATAGAACACAGCGCAAAGCCAACACACACACACAGAGATTTTAACTCTCCTGGTGGTGACTTTAGTTTGATACTGCAGGGGGTCACAGATGGCCACATATCGATCAGCTGATATGAGCACCATGTTTCCTACTGAGGCAGAGGTGATAATATAAGCAACATAAATTAACACTCCACACATAAAGCTCCCTAAACCCCAACAGCCCCCTTTTAGGAAAACTTGTTTTGGCATCAGCAGGAGTCCAACGAGGAAGTCTGACACAGCCAGAGACAGGAGGAAGAGGTTGGCTGGGGTATGAAGCTGCCTGGAAGGAGAAAAAAGTATAACTAGCAATTTCACAATAATACAGGTCATTAAAATAAAAATGTAATGCTTTGAATTTGTTTTCAATTTTTCTAATAACAGCATTACTTCATTCAGACATGAAAACTTATTTTGTAAGTGTATTTTCTACAAAAAATAATCAAGTCTTTTACAGAGAAACTTTGGATCCAAAACATGACTTATATTCTTAAACATAAATATTACTGAGTGACAGCACTACTGTAGAACAACGTGAAGCTAACTGTAGAAAACAGCACTATTTCAATGCCTGAAATGGGAGATGGAGATGATGACCAGGAGATTGAGAGCTACAGTTAGAAAAGAGATGACGGACAGCAGGAAATAGAGAAATGTGTTCTCAGTTGGATGCTGAAGCAGATTTCTGCAAGATGTGTTGATAAGTTGTGGAAAACAGAGTTCAACTGCAGTCATATTATCCATAATCTAAGATAAAAGTGAGTAGCCACAGTCCTCTGGCAGCTTTCTGAGCAAAACTCAGTGTGATGAAGACTTTTCTCCTCTCTCTTTCCTATATCAACAAAATTATCCCGCCCTCCCATTGTTTCTCCTATCAAATAAGACTCCAAAACAGGGATGTCACTAGTAATGAAAGACAAGGGGGTAATAGCCCAGGACTGCAGGAAGAAATTAACACACATCGGAGGCTGCTGTACGGGCTTTTTATTATTATTTCACTGGCTTTCTCACATTGTCTTTTGTTTCCATTGGGCTTGTGTGCATTTCTTGCTTGCAATATATCTATCAGTGCATTTAATATTACTAAATGTGAAGCATAATACCTAAAGATATAAAGTGACGCAACACTCCCCTGGGGTATGGAGACCCCAGGGAGACTGCTGCTGGAGCACATGTTCATGTAATTTCTTTAACTTAATGAAAATCTGCATGCGGTGTCTGGAAAAAATAGACTCAAAGCAAAAACTTTCCAGATATTTGCATCCGCTACACACTGCAGAGAGCGTAAATGCTCATTCAGGAATTGCTCTGGAGTGGTTCTCTTATCTGTCTGAGCATTCCTTCTCTGTGGCCGTCTCCAAGTTTTGGTCACAATCAGAATCAGACCCACCTCCACCCAGGCACACCTGGAAAGCACCCAGGCCACCACAGCTGACCACCGCCCCCTGGGCAGAGGGCATCCACAGAGGAAACACTGGAAAAAGGTTAAATTAAGGTTGAAATATAAAATCATAAAAGCTAAAATGAGAATTGTAATATAAAAAGTTATATAGATATTAAAATAATGTTGATCATGATAAAATGATAAAAAACTGTTTAAAAATAGCACGTATAAAGAAAGAATACATTGAATAAATAGATAAATAACCTAATTAATATATTTATTTATTTTAAAAGTGATAGTAATCAGTTAATAGCTAAGCTAAAAAGATGGGTCTTGAGTCTGTTTCTAAAAACATGAACGTTCTCTGCAGCCCTGAGGTCCCCTGGCAGCTCATTCCAGAGGCGAGGAGTGTAGTACTGGAAGGATGCCTCGCCGTGTATATGTGTCCTGACTTTAGGGATGACAATGAGACAGCTGCCAGAGGAGTGCAAAGACCGCGTGGGTTTATATGGTATAAGTAGTTCTAAAAGATAAGAAGGCCCAAGACCGTTAAGACACTTAAAAACCATTAAAAGTGTTTGATAGTATTCAAGTATATAATCGATCCTGAAACATACGAGGAGCCAATGCAGTGATTCTAAAACTGGAGTGATGTGCTCCTGCCTCCTGATCTTCGTCAGGACACGTGCTGCTGAGTTTTGTAGAAGTTGTAGACCTGAAATCCTCTTTTTAGGAAGACCAGAAAGTAGGGCATTGCTCCAAGAGGGAGCATATAAAGGTTAAAAAGCACTGGGCCTAAAATTGAACCCTGGGGCACACCACATGTAATCCCATGAACGCTAGAGGAACAGGTATCCAAACTCACCATAAAAGTCCTGTCTGTGAGGTAGGAAGTGAACCATCCTTGAACAGCACCAGAGAGGTTGATCCGTTTCAAACAAGTTAAAAAAAATAGTGTGATCTACTGTGTCAAAGGCAGCACATAGATCCAGTAGAACCAACACAGTCACCTTCCGTTTATCATAATTTACTCTACAATCATTTAAAATCTTCAGAAGGGCTGTCTCGGTGCTGCGGTTCACCCTAAAACCAGGCTGGAGTTTTTCAAAGACATTATGGGTGTTGATAAAATCATTAAGTTGAATTAAAACAAGCTTTTCTAAAATTTTGCTTAAAATGGTAAGTTGGATACCGGTCGATAAATGTTTAAGTCATTAAAATCTAAATTGTTTTTCTTCAGCAGAGGCCTCACCACCGCCCGTTTAAAAGCGGCAGGAAAAACCCCGTCTGAAGGGAGCAATTCACCATAGTTAAAACCTCATCTCTAAAAGAATCATAAAATTGTTTAAAAAACCTAGTGGGTTAGGGTCCAGGACACGTGGTGGGCCTCACTGAGGAGAAAACTTTTTCAAGACTCTCAGCTTCCACCAGAACAAAACTGTCCAGTGTTTCCTCAGGTAGACTCTCAGATGTGTCTAAAGCCACCTTACGTTGATAGGATGAAATGTTACATCTGATGGTGTCTACCTTCCCTCTGAAGTGGGCTGCAAACTCCTCAAGAGGGTGTTTGAGGGGGTTTTCTGAATTGAGTTTGGGTTGGAGTGGAGAATATTATTGATTGTGGAGAAAATAATTTTAGGGCAATTTTTATTGTATGAGAGGATTTTGGAAAAGTATTCATTTCTTGAATTTCTTATGGCATTATTGTATGTTTTTAGTATTTCTGAATATATCTGATGATTTATTGTTAATTTGTTTTTCCTCCATCTCCTTTCCGCCACTCCGCAGTTTCTCTTTAGTTTTTTTAGGTTTCCATTTCTCCAAGGTGATGCATGATTTGACTGTAAGTTTTTGGTTTTGAGTGGAGCAAGTAGATTAAGAGCTGCCTCAAGTCTTCTGTTAAAATCATTGATAATGGCATCACAAGGGGCAGAGACGTTAGTTGGAGAGATATTGTTAAAAGCTTCAAGAAAACCAGCAGCCACTTCAGGGGTTAGATGACGCTTCCTTACAGTTCTCACAGAGGGCCCACGCTGGATAACGCTGGTGATGTTAAAAAAATACGCAATAGTGATCGGACACTGCCAAGTTGACAACAGAGGACACACCAGTGGACAGGCCATATGTGATGACCAAGTCCAGGGTGCGTCCTCTGTTGTGAGTTGGCTGTGTGACATGTTGGGTAAAATCCATATAATTCAAGATGTTTAAAAAATCTGTGGCTAAAGGGTCTAAAAGGTTGTGCAGATTTAAATCAGCTAAAATAATCCTATCAAAGGAGTTGTGTAAAATTGATAAAAACTCTGAAAACTCTTGAATAAAAGGTGTACTCTCTTTAGGAGAGCTGTAAATAGTGATGCATAAAATCTGAGGAATGCTAAAAGCGGCTGCAGTGTATTCAAAAGTGTTAAAATTATCAAATAAAACAGGTTTTCCTAAAAGTGTTGATGAACTTATAAAAGCAGTCCCGCCTCCCCTTTCCCCATTCCTCGTTGAAAAATTGAAATTAAAATCAGGTGGGGAGGCCTCTGTGAGAACAACAGGGGCATCTGAATGTAACCTGGGCTACGCTGGAGCTGCAGAGCTCAAGCGTCATACCAGGAATTTGCAACGACACAGGTGGAGAGCGAGTGTGCAAAACCCAAGGGACAGAGACACCAGAGAGCAGAAGTTTGTCTGAGACCTCTTTTATTACCGTATTTTCTGGACTATGAGCCGCTACTTTTTTCCCACGCTTTGAACCATGCGGCTTATAATGAGGTGCGGCTTTACTGAAGATTTTCCTTCACCTGCCAGGGGGCGCTTTAGCAGAAAGTGAAACAGGTGGAAGTCAAAAGTGGAAATCGAAGAAAGTGCTCATTTTAATTAAGCACATGCAAGCAGCCGGCACAACGAAGAATTTTTTTCAAAACCATACCCTCTCATCATGGTAACTACACGTATGAGTTCATATGTTGCCGCATTTAAGTTGAAGGCCATCGATCTGGCAGTAAAGGAGGGAAACAGTGCTGCTGCACGTAAGCTTGGCATGAATGAATCCACGGTTCGGCGCTGGAGACGGCAGCGGGAAGAACTCATTCAAGGCAGCACTGCTCGTCTAGTCTGAGATACTCTCCAGGTGACAGCATCAAGCTCATGTATTTATTTTGCATCTGATATCACTTGCAAGCGTTGCAGAGTCTTTGAGTTTGAGTCAAAAGAAAGGATGGTTCCAAAGTACTTGACTCACCCGGTTGGCCGAAGCGGGAGGCAATATCACAATGATGTCAAGGTTACATTTGGTCATTGTACTGGTAAGTCAATCAGAAATGTGAAGACAGTCTGATCACTCAGAACATAGAACATGCACACCCCAATAATACAGCAAAAGCAAGGGAAGAGATTTCAGGGGGAAATTAATTTTCACACAATAGACAATAAACCTGTGGCTCTGCTGAGGTCTAAAAGAGGTTTCTGGGATTGTGTCCTTCAGGTTGGCCGCATTGTTGGTTCTGTGTCTCCGGTGGTGAGCTAGTGTCCAGTTCTTGTCCTTAGTCCTGATAAAATGCTTCTGATGTTATGTCTGGTTCAGAAATGGCTTGACATATGTATCTGTGTAGAAGCTCTTGATCCTATGACTTCTACTCCCTGTGAGCCCCCCCCCGCCCCCCACCCCCACCCTGTGCCTGTCTTGTGCACATCTATCCAGTCAGCAGTTTTCCCTTTGACTGTATGTCTGTGATAATCATCATTAGAATTAACGAGAAATTAACACCTAAAACACTTTACTGTGTTTTTAATCTATAATATTAATTTCCCTTTTTGAAATCAGTGATAAAAGTATTGAAATGGTCTACAATAATCTAAGTTGAGCAGCTCTCCGGGCCGACGGGAGACATGCCTTAACAACCTGCTCGAGACATACGTCATACGTCTGTGCCACAACGTACACAAACTTGTCTGACAACACAGCTAATTATAAAAGATTCATAATTTAAAGAAATATAGAAGACTGCAAGCAGAGGCAATGAGAGTTATAAAAAGTGCTAAAAGGGAGAGTTTGAGAGGTTTTTGTGATAAAATTGGGAGAACCATACCTGTGAGTGATGTTTAAGGAATGATTAAGAAAATGAAAGGAATTTATAGAGAATGGAGATATCCAGTGCTTAAAATGGAAGATGAGTTGGCTGTTAAAAATGGTATAAAGCCGAGCTCTTAGCTAAAACATTTGTTAAGATTAATAGTAGTGATAATTTGTCAGAGGACAGAAGGATTAGAAGAGAAGAAGCTAGAAAGAAAAATGAGCTAGAGCGTGATCAAGGACATATTCATTCATTATGGATGTTCTGTTTACTTTGAGTTGAAGCAAGCATTGATGAAGAGTAGAACAACTTCTACTGGGAAGGATAAAGTTACTTATGAGATGCTTAAACACTTGGGGAGTAAAATGAAGGTTGTTATTAGATTTGTATAATGAAGTTTGGGAAGAGGGGCTAATACCAAAAATTTGGAAAGAAGCAGTAATAATACCTATCATGAAACCAGGAAGATATTTAATAGACCAGAAAACTATAGACCAATAGCTCTTACTTAACATGTTGGAAAACTAATGGAAAAAATGATTATGGAGAGAATGAATTATTTTCTTGAAAGTAGAAATTTAACAACAAAATATCAGAGTGGTTTTAGGAAAGGTAGGGGAACAATGGATCCATTGCTTTATCTTAAATGAAATTAGAAAAACACAATTTAATAAAGAAAGTTTAGTAGTTGCATTTTTTGATTTTGAAAAAGCACATGATGTGGTTTGGAAAGAAGGATTGTTAATAAAACTAAATAGAGTAGGACTTAATCGTAGAATATATGAGTGGATAAAGAATTTCTTATTTAATAGATGTATTCAAATGAAGTTAGAGGATACAATGTCAAATAGGTATCTAGTTGAGAATGGGACTCCTCAAAGAAGTATAATTAGCCCAGCACTTTTTTTCTATAATGATAGATGATGCTTTTGAAAATATAGGTTATGACTTTGGGAAAGCACTTTTTGCAGATGATGGAGCCATATGGAAAAGGGGAAGAAATATTCAACATTTACAGAAGAACTTGCAAGAAGCAACATAGAAGGTGGAAAGTTGGTCTTATGATTGGGGTTTTAAGTTTTCAGTAGACAAAACTAAAAGTATGTTTTTTACAAGAAAGAGGAATGTGGTGGTTAATCTTAAGTTGTACGGAGAAAATTTAGAGCAAGTAAGGAGTTTTAAGTATTTGGGAGTTATTTTTGATACTAAATTAACTTGGAAGGAGAATATAAGTAAAATTGAAGAAAGATGTAAAATAAATAATTAATATAATGAGATGTTTCTAAGGAACTGACTGGGGTGCTAGTGCACAGGCATTGAAGCAGATTTATATATTCGTGATTCGGACAGTGATAGATTATGGTAGTATTATGTATGGTTCAGCTTGCAAGACTTTATTAAAAAGGATAGAGAGTATACAAAATCAGGTGTTAAGAATATGTAGTGGAGCAATAAAATCAACACCAGTAGCATCTTTACAAGTGGAAATGGGAGAAATGCTGATATGTTTGAGATTTAAGCAGATTTTGTTAAATTATTGGACTAGCCCACAGGGGTGTACAGAGAAAGAACATTTGGTCAAGAGAGAAATGTTTTTATGTTGGGAAAATGGACATGAAAGTATGAGAGTGTGATTGGGAAAGCAAATAGATTAGCTGAAATATTTAAATTGGATGATATCACTTTTGTAAATAAATGTTTATATTCAGTTACTCCAAAGTGGATTTTTCCTCATTTTAATATTGATTTTCATGTTAAGATTAAAATGGAGCAGAATAAAGGTAAAGGAAATTGGGAGAATATTGTTGCTGAAAGATTGGATAGTATTCATAAAACATTTATTCCAATATTTACAGACGGCTCCAAAGACTCAGGAAATGAGAGCACGCATTTCTCTTTTGGTATTCCAGTTTTAGAAAAGTGTATACAATTCAGAACGTCTCATAGTTCATCAGTTTTTATGGTGGAATTGTTAGCAATCTCATTTACTTTGGATAGAACAGAATAGAATAAAAAGGTGTGTTATATGTACAGATTCTCTTTTGGCTCTAATGTCAGTTAAGTCATTATCAACTGATAGTAGATCAGATATTATTTTAGAAATATTTGAATGATTATTTAGATTGAAAAGATTAGAAATAGAAATTAGATTTAAGTGGGTTCCAGCACACAGAGGGGTTGAGGGAAATGAAATAGCAGATTTTTATGCAAAACAAGCAACAAAATTAAACACACAGGTAGAAATTCCATATAGTGTCAAAGAAGTGAAGGTGATGATCAGGAAACAGATGATGAATGAATGACAGGAAATGCGGGTAAGGGGAGAAAAGGGAAGCAATTTATTTAATACATAGGGAAAGTTGGATGAAAATGATGGAAACTGATTATAGAGAACAAACAATAAAATCAAGGTTAAGGATGGGACACACAGATTTAAATGGCATTCTTCATTTAATTGGCAAACATCCTACGGGTTTATGTGGAAAAGATAAGGAAATGGTAGAGCATGTTTTATGTTATTGTTGTAAATATGTGGTATATAGAAAAATGTTACAAGAAAAATCAAAAGTTAGAGGATATGGAGAACTGAGTTTAAGGACTTTGTTAAATAGGGATAACAGAATTTATAACTTAATGTTGGAATTCCTTAGGAAAAGTCGTTTAGTTAAAAGAATAGTTTTTTTTAGTACTCCTCACTCTGACTCGCACTCCTACACAGTAGGTGGCGGAAATGCACCTTAAGTTGGATGCCACCCGCCATTTAAACAGAAAAAGAAGAAGAAGACGACAACAACACAGCTGAGATGCTAACGGAAGCTAGACAATAACTCTTAGCTGGGCTCAAAAAGCTAAAGTCTCTGTTACTCCATATGAAGGATACATTGTAAAATATTACTGAGCGACACTTCTTATGTGACTCCGGCTGTTGTTAGCAGATGATCGCATTAGGATCGTAAAGCTAAGTGAGTAAGTTGAGTTAGCCGTATGAATGTAAGGCTGATAAAAGATGTGTTTGTGAATATAAAGGTATAGATCGTTCTGATGGGTCTGGGTATGTACAGTCTATGGTCTGGATGTGAACATAGAGCAGTGCTGGTTGTATTTCTCTGTTTTTGGCTAAAGCGCTGCAGTTAGCTTCTGATTAAGCCTCTGGCTAAAGGAACATTTCACTGAAGTTCTTGTATCTGTTCCTCCCTTGATCAGCTAAAGTTCGTGACACTCAGGATGTGGACGGTTCAGACTAAACTCTTCTACAATAAAAGCACAGTTTATTCCTCATAACACCTTTTCTCTATTCAGGAAGGTTCAGGATACAGGACATTTCAGTTGTTTTGTTTTTTGGCAGCTGAACGACATTTCTAAACTAAGATTCAGAAGCTAACTTGCTAGCTGTTTTCTTTATTGGTCCGCCCCTGCTATGTGACCCAGGCCCTTCATAGGTGTGTGAACCCATTAAACAACAGCAACCAGCTTAAGGTGTGATGGGTGATAAGGATACATCTGTGACAAACCTCTCAATTTGAGTCTTGATCTTTTTTCTTCTGTGTGGAAGTGTGAATAATTGATGGTCTTTGAAGTCCTGTTGTTATGCTGGTAGGTGAACCTTTCAAGGACCGTCTCTCGTCTTTCTGAGATGGACGTGAGCATTGCTGTGTCCCTGATCCGGGGCCAGATGGGTGCAGTTGTGGAGCGAGCCGTAAACACAGCAGTGGAGACAGTGCTGGCTGAGATGCTCAAAGTTGTTGGCGTCAAGTTTGAAGAGCTGAAATCTCAGGTGGTCCTGATGAAGAGGGATGTGGTGGCACTTCAGAGGGAGAAAGCCCTGAAGGAGAAGGAGAACGACAACATCAGAGCCAAGCTGCGCTACACTGAGCTGAAGCTCAAGTACTACCGGCAGGGGGTGGAAGAGGAACTGCAGCAGAGAGCTTCTGCTCCCTCTCTGATCCGCATTCAACCTTCCACCTTCACCCTGATGCAAAAGGGTGAGGCCAGCAACTCACCCACTGAACCCTCAGCTCAGAGAACTGCTGCAGGAACACTGCTGAGGAGTAGCCAAGGTTCCACCCTCACTTTCTTCCTTTGCTCCTTATCCTTCTTCTACTTTATTGTCTCAATCCTGATTATTTCTTTTTATCCCAGAATGCACCTCTCCAGAAATATCTTGCAGAAAAGGAGTCAGGGGTCACTGTTCTTCAGGTGTGGGGTGTTCAGACTCATCCGAACTTCTGTCCTTCAGGCTTGCTGTGGACACTCCTCCAGAGTCTACAGACAGCAATGCAGGTTTGAGTGGGTGGTGGTAACAGGTGTGATGGTGGTTGTGAGGTACTATGGGGCCGCATTTCCTTTAATTATTATTATTATCCTTTGTAGCTGTAACTAGAGAAATTAGTGCTGGGCAATAAATAAAAAATAAATACAAGTAAATCTTTCTAAATAACATTTCCTTTGTAGACAGGTTGATAGAAATGTTGATATAAAGAACAAATAAATCATAATAAAGAGCGAGTCACCTCCAAATAAATGTATTTTTCTGGTAAATTATAAAAAAATTTAGTGACTATTTGTGCTGTAGACATGTATAGTCATTATTTTAAATGGTGCTCTGCACTGGACCAAACAGCGGCTGGAATAGATCCATACAGAAGCCAGGTGCGCTAACAGCTAATATTTGTGTAGTTTTAGCTTACTGCAGGTAACAGGTAGGACATGGCTGGTAAAAGAGGAAAAAATTATGTATATCTCAGGATAGGGACAGCAGAAGCTCAGGAGGTAGAGTGGGTTGTCCAGTAATCGGAAGGTTGCAGGTTCGATCCCAGCTCCAACCAGAGAATGATGCTGTTGTGTCCTTGGGCAAGACACTTAACCCTCCTTGCCTGCTGTTGGAGGTCGGAGGGACCGGTGGTGCCAGTGTTCGGCAGCCTCGCCTCTTGTCAGTGCGCTCCAAGGCAGCTGTAGCTACATCGTAGCTCATCACCACCAAGGTGTCAATGTGTGAATGACTGCTTGTATTTTGAAGCGCCTTGGGGGGTTATACAACTCTAAGAAGGCACTATGCAAATACGGGATATTTACCATCACTATCAACTGATGTGAAAAATATAATTGTGATGATAGGAATTTTTCCCATATCACCCAGCCCTAAGAAATGTGTCGTTTGTTGTGACTTGTTGGTTCATGGTATGCTTCTGAGACGCTACAAGAAACAAACTCAAGTAACAAAACGCTGCAGACTTGAGTTTCTGTGGTGTGTCTCACTACGTGTGAACTGGATCCATGTCTCTTTCAGGGTTTTTTTGTCGGTCTGAGCCTGATGGATCTCTCGGGACTGGTGTAGAACAGGAGAACGAGTGGACCATCTCAGATGGTGCTGATGATGACCAGACCTCTTCACCTGTACAGCCTCCATCCGAAGGTGCTGCTCAACATCCAGCACCCGTCCCTCAGTCTTACGATGCCTCTGCTCAGGCAGACAGTATCATGCTGCCCCCTTCTGCCCCAAAGGTGACAACACACTAGTAGTCTGACTTTTATGACATACTGCTGAAAGTGTGTGTGCGTGTGTGTGCGTGTGTGTGTGTGTGTGTGTGTGTGTGTGTGTGTGTGTTTTACAGGAATACATTAAATTCAAACCCATCTGATCATACCTACAGGCTGTTTTCCATCAGTTGTTTCTGGTTTATTTTTCCCCCGTGTGTTTAAATATTACTTTGATAGTAAATCCAGATAGTGAGCTGGAACTACCATGGAGGAAACTGAACCCTGAGGTCTTTGAGACTCTGGTTCTCTGCAGGTGAAGCAAGAGGAGGAAGAGGAGGTGATCTGTATCAAAGAAGAGCCTGAGGAGGAGCAAGAGGTGGTGCGCTCTCTGCTGCTGGACTGCCAAGCGGAGCAGAGTTGTGCTTCGGGGTCAGAGGTCAGGTCACATTTTAACATGTTTTACTTTGAGGCAAGAGCGAGCGAGCGAGAGAGAGAGAGAGAGAGAGAGAGAGAGAGAGAGAGAGAGAGAGAGAGAGATTCCTTTTACAGAAGTCTGTGAGGACAGAATACATTTAGTGAATCGTAACAAACGGTTATAAAACTTTCAGCATTAATAAACATTGTTGTTTTACACATTTATCTCTTCACTTTTTGCCAGTGATGACAGGGAATCTGGTGTTCTTGTTATTTTGCTGGAGGTTGCACTCCCACGGATTTTTGACCCTAATGGCCATCCGTTGGTAAAGTCTTATTTGAACACGAAAAAAATGCTTGCTTGCAGTGATTTAGGTGTACTGTCCCCTATCGCCAGGGAAAATACACACTGTCACTTTAAAAAAGGCTTTTCTGCACAAATTCTTCTGCACAGTTTAGATTTAAGAGTTCTGATATATATCTATTTTTAATCAAATTGGTTCTCACACCATCTTACTGGGTTTTAATCATCTTCTGATTCAGCTGTGGAAATCTTATTTGTAAATATCACAAAATCATGTTTTCCAAATATTTACCTGCAAAAGAGAAATGATGTGTCATGTGTTACATAGAGGCAGGTTACACCAGATTTACTGGAGAATGAACATTGGTCTGTCCTAAAGTCAGACTGCTCAAAGGATTAAAGTTCTTGTTCCTTTAAGGTTAACAGCCTGGAAACAGAGCCGTCTAGACCTCCAGCTGGCCTGATGAACTCTGGTCCTACTTTCAGTTCTGCAGGATCCGGCATCTGTGAGTACATTGCTGTTTGTGCACAGAAACCTGGAAAAGACCTTTTAGCTGTTCAACCATTCATCCATCACCTGGACCAACTGAATCCAGTTCAGGATCATAGGGACCAGGTCTGCTTCTGCTCATCTGTGGGTGGGGCAGCTGGGACTAGACTGTAAACTGGTATTAAAGTAACTGTAAAGTAATTAGCCGTTTACCTGGGATTAGGCCTGTACTGGGTTTAGCCTCCTACTGGAGTTAGGGGAAATCCAAGAGCAAACTCTGGTAGAGGGCAAACCCCAATATGGGGGAATGGAAAGGAAGCTAGTCAAAGTAAATGCCTAATCTCTGATAAAGTCTAATATCAATCATGGCCAGTTTTAGTAAAGTGCCATCTGAGATTAAACCAAACCGGGATTAGCAACAGTGATGAATAACATTACCATTACTACAATGCTACCTTCTTCCCATTTCTTGTTAACAACGGCCTTTCCCACATTCCTCCCTGTATGTACTCTCAGATACGCTGCCACAGCTGACTGGCTTGTTCCCGTCCTCCGTAGTCCTGCCTTCTGGTATCCAGGCTCGACAGGCAACAAGGTCCTGGTCCAAGGACCTCAGCCTGTATGAGGAGTATAAACTGCGGAGAACTGAGCTGCGGCATCGAAACCTGAGCAGACGCAGGGAGTTGGAGAAAGCTCTGCCTCAGCCTCTTCTGGCAGATCTGGTGAGTCCAACCCAGAGTCCTGGTCTATGAATCCAGAGATAACGTTCTCTTCTCAGGTAAATTACACTGCTTGGCTGTTATGGCTGGAGCCTTTTGTGTTTTCTTTCATTTTCTTGTGCATTTTTCCCCCCTTCTTGATGTTGCATCTGAGGAGCATGCCTGCAGAGTAAGCCTGTCAGCTCACCCTTGCTCCTCCCTGCACCAGATGTGCCATGTTTTTATCAGCCGCTGATTGTTTAAAGGACCTGCTGGAGCTCCTCACCAATGGGGACAATAGTGCAGAGCTGCCTTTCCTCTGGTCTGTTGTTGCCATGGTTGTTGCCCTCTTAGGACTTGAGACTTGGATACTGAGTAGTGATAAGAGTTATGGGTAATCTGTTACCTTTTGAGATTTTAAAGAGCAAGTCACCCCCTACAAGAAACTTACTTCACTCCCACTTCATGTTTGAAAAATGCAACAAATGCTGTTGCTTGGCAGACCGAGAGGGCGGAGCCGCTAACAAATACACACACACACAGGCTCACAATGGCATTATGACATCATAATATACCAGATGACATCATAGCATACCTCTTAGCCAATAGCGGTGGCAGATTTAAATTCAAATACAGTGCAGAATTTTTCCCAGACGACAGCGCAACACTGACAGTTTTAGGCAGAATATTTGAATTTTAACCAAGATGCACTGAACTGCCAAATTACTGACTACACGTGTCTGTAGCATGATTCGACACTCGTTTATATAGTTTATCAGCAAAAAAAATGTGATTTGGGGGTGACTTGCTCTTTAAGCTCTTTTTAGAGTAATTAGCTTTTTTTGTGTTACATTTTGGTGTCTGAGCTTGTTTTGGTTATTTGTTGATATCCCTGGGGATAAAGACCCTTTTGTCCAATCTTTGCTTTTTGACTCTAGAATAAACTACAAAAAAAAACAAAAGAAAACCTTTGTTAACTTTTAATTTGTGTCACACGTCCTCCATGTTACCCCAGACCCCCTAGACAGCTGGGATGTAACACTGGCCAAAATAAAGTCACCACCGGGATTTAACTAAGCAAATAGGTATGAACCTCCGATTGGACAATTACTGCATGGGTGATCAACTTTCAGCTGGTAAAAGGTTATTTGGTGCTATGAGTTGCTTCTTATTTCTTAAACAACCACGTGGAAAGACACATCTGGTGGTCATGGAAAAGATGTTGGTCTGTTTGAGAAGGGTCAGATCATTGGCATGCATCAAGCAGAGAAATCATCTAAGGAGATTGTAGAAATGACTAAAACTGGGTTAGGAACTGCCCAGCGTATTATTAAAACTGGTCTGATGAGTCCAGATGGACCCTGTTCCAGAGTGATGGGTGCATCAGGGTAGGAAGAGAGACAGATGAAGTGATGCACCCATCATGCCTAGTGCCTACTTCATCACCTACAGGCTTGTGGGGTCAGTGCTATGATCTGGGGTTGCTGCAGTTGGTCAGGTCTAGGTTCAGCAACAGGATGTGCTCCAAGAATGAGCTCAGCTGACTACCTGAATAATATACTGAATGACCAGATTATTCCATCTTCCATCTAAAACCGACTGATAGCTTCAGCCAACTGGAGGCTGTAAACCATACATGACAAAAGAATGGACCACTCAGCCCATTACTCTACGCTTTTTCGTATTTAGTTTAATGTCAAACCATTTTATATTTATTTCTTACAGGGACCTCTCCTCTGTCCCGAACGTGTTTACCACTCTGCCACTTTCTCACAGGTGGCATTCTCACTGGTAACACCTGAGTTAAGAGAACTTCAACTTTGGCAACTTGTGCTGCATTTTCGCTGTCACTGTTTGTTTTTCCTTGTGAGAAACATAGAGAGCTCAGGACGTGGTGTGACCAAATATGGTTAGTCAAGGGTGTTTCTGTATTTAAGTGACTGTGAATGAGCACAACACAACACACCTGGGTACGCACATGTGGGATTCATCAGCATGCGATTGTGAAGGAATATGCGCACGAGTGGGGGCCGCATGTTTCATTAATCTACCGGATTTTGGCCGTTCTTACAAACATTCTCAATTTCATTTGTAGGATGGAATAGGTGTGGGTGATATGGCCTCAAATCAATGTCACAATATATTGAGCAGTTCACTTCGCTAACTCACCAACCATGAACCGCTCTTAAGTGGTGGCACAAAATCTTCTCTCATTAGAAAATATGGGACTGTGGTTAGCTATGCCCTTGTTTCAGTACCAAAGCCATTTAACGTGTTCCCATAATGATCTGTGTGCTGTAGGTCCGTGAGCGTCGAGAGAAGACCAGACTCAGAGTGGCCCGGTGGAGGGCCAAGAGGAAACTCCAGGCCTGCCTGAACCAGAATCAGGTCTCTGATGGGATGACCTGAAGGGTCATCATCTGAACCCTTTCATGTGTTTTAAAGTTTCCAGGCAGTCTTGAGGAACAGTAACGGATTAGTTTGTTTTAACAGTCATAAACAATGTTTTAAAGGAGTTATTTATAGAGAATATAAAGTTGATTGGTTTAATTAAACATGTTTCTGTTGAATGTTGAAATCACTCATAATAATGAAAACTATGTTTTTGAACTATGAGGTCCATGATGGTACCGCTGGATTGTCTCAGGCCAGTTTTCCTGCCAACAGTCTGCCCCAGCAGCTCAGAGCACCCTGTGGTAAGATGACCATTAACATTCTCTGTGCAAATCACACCGAATAGTTAGGAATGTCAGGATAACACCATCTGTAAGATTTATCTAAAGGAAAGTCTGACATTGAGTCTTTAAAGTAGACATGACATCTAGCTCATGGATGGAAAGTAGCAGCTGGTTCCACTAGAGAGGAGCCTGAGAACTGAAACGTCTGCCTCTCGTTCTACTTTTAGAACATGTAGGAGCCAAAAGCACGCCTGCCATCTGAGAGTCTGGTACTCTGATGTGGATATCTTGAACAAGATTTTTTTTATTAGCAGCTTGTTCTTAGAAAGATTTGTAGTCTTCAAGTAAAACAAAATGTAGCATCATCCAGGTCTATCTCTCTACATGTTTGTAGTTATTAACTGGTTGGATTCATCAGGTTTCATAGGGAAATGGAACTGGGTACCATTTTATCCTATTGTGTCCAATAGAAGCATATGTAAAAGTAAAGAGTACTGGACCAAGTGCAGAACCCTGAGGAACACCATGACTTACTCCAGTGGAAAGATGAAGATTCATGAACAAACGGGAACCTGTCAGATAAATAAGACTTTAACTAGTTTATTGCTGTTCTCTTTATTATAATATCACATTTGACTCTTTGTAAAAAAAAAAAAAAACTAAATGAACTCTTTAGATGCCAGAGTTAAATATTCAAGTTTGATATGATTATTTCAAAAGGCTGTAGCTTGAAAATGCTTAGAGAAAAAGATAAACTGTAAATGAGAACAATCTCTAGTAAGACTCTAAATTCGTGAGCAAATTCACAGATGTAATTTGCATATTATGATGTCATCAGGCTGACATTTTGGAATGCACACCTTTTACAGAAGTTCCTTCCTATTTTACAGGTTATTTAGACAAATTTCATTACATTTTTTTAATACTTTTATTTATATATACAAATTCAATGTAAAATGTTATGTAAATTATTTTTACATTAGTATTTTGTTTATGTTTATGTTGGCCTCACTCAAAACAGAGACTTTATAGCCATATTTGTCGGGTTTCTTTGGGCTTGTACAGTTTCAGGGAAGTCCTTTCCTTGAATGTAATAATCATTTGATCCAAGGGAAAGAATATTTTTATGATTACGTGGCACACTTTGACTTCCATATAAACACATCTGCCGCTTTTTACAGCTTTTTTTTACATTGTCACTACGTCCAGTGTTGGGGAGTAACTGAATACATGTATTTAGAATACAGTATAATAAAGAATAATAAAGATGAGTAACTGTATTCAGTTACAGTTACTATTTTTAAACATGGTATTTAGAATACAGTCACTTTCGTAATACCATTGGAATACTTGTGTGTTTTCCACTTTTCACTCGAAAGATGAAGGAATGAATGAATGACATTATTTATAAAGCACATTTCCTGTACGACAACAACTCAATGTGCTTAACAGTTAAAGAGACTAAATAAAACAAACAATTATAAAATATGTACACCCTTAAAAACGATCAGTGTTTACATATTAAAATATACACATGAAACTAAAATCTATACATTCAAACATGCACGCACACATACACATACACACACGCACACAAACATTTATACACGCATTTGCACATACATCCATGCACAGCCATAAAACATAATTGTAAGAACTTATTTATGAATATAACCATTTCTATGAAATGAGGAAATGAATTAGAAATGAAACAACCTATCCATATGTTTGTTCAAATAAAAAGGTTTTCAAAATTTTCCTAAAAATATTTGTTGTAGCTCCTTCCTTCTTCACTAAAGGCAGAGTATTCCAGATCTTAGGTGCATAGACACTGAAGGCAGCCTCCCCTGACTCCACTTGAGAGTGCCATTTGAAACCATCATACCTGTCCCTGTGGGACTGAAGAAGCAATAATGCAAGAGTCTTTAAATCTAGTTACAGCAGCTGCTCCTTTTCTTTTTGTGATTCAGCTTCCACCTCCAGCAGCCACCAGAGGGAGAACTCAGCAGCTCCTCAGTCCAGCAGCTACCTCAGCAACATCTCAGCCAACAGCACCGTCCCTGTTCTGCATCTAATACCCTCCTCCCAGTCTCAGCATGGACCTGACATGGCTCCTCATGAGCATGCAGTGACATCATCCTGCTCCTATCCACGGATCAGCCAATCACTGCAGGGAATCTCTCACAGTGAATTTCCAACAGAACTTCCTCCAGGCTCGACAGAGCTCAGAAGATAAATATTTCATTGTCTCTGTCACACACACACACTTTATTGTGGTCTGTACCAAAAGACCGCTACATGCTAATTAGCTTCACAGATACATTGTACTGAATCACTTCACAAGTTACTGAAGTTTTCTGAATGCAGCTCATTTGAGTTGTGTGTTTTTATTGGGTTTAACCACCATCATCATGCCTGTGTGATGTTTCTGCCTTTGCTGTCATCTTCCTCGTGTGGTTCTTTTGCCACCACTCATGTGATCATCCTCAACTTTTTGTGCAGCACTCACAGTTGGATTAAACATGCATGACAGATGGAATCCTGACATTTTTCTCTGTGGAAATAATTTCAGCAACATTAAAGACTGTTTTTGACTTTCATTGCTTTAAGACCCGTTGTGATGATTTAAATCAGGTTTGGTTTGTTATCAGGTTCCTATGGACTGGATTTAGCTTTGTGTCCTTGTAGGGGTCATCTCTCATGCACCTGCAGGACCTGGGTTCATTTCATTCTCTTTAGTGCACATTTACAGTTCTGTGAGAAATTGTTCATCCTCACGGATTTCTCTTATATTTGCTGTTCTGTCACTTAAACGTTTTAGATCAGCAAACAGGTTTTAGCATCAAAGTTCATGAAAGTTATCCAAACCACTGGTCCTTTGTTAAAGTAGTCCCTCTAAACTGGTTTTAACAAGCCTGGCAGCAGTAACTAGATCCAGTGTTTATGATAATTATAAGAGTTGCATTACTGTGGAGGATTGTTCTCCCAATGTTCTTTACATTCTTTTAATTTAGCCATGTTGGAGAGTTTTCCAGAATGTCTAGGGTCAAAGTTCAGACATTTGCCTTCAGGGCTTTCTGGTGGAGAGCAGAATTCATGGTTGTGTCAGTTACAGCAAGCAGCAACAAAGTCCCACACCATCACACTACCACCACCATGTTAGACATCAGACCAGCAGCATGATGTTTCTCCAGTGTTCATTTTACTACAGATGTAACAACTTCATAATGTTCCACTTTTGTTTTCTTTGTCTCTCCATATTTTCCCAAAAGGCTCAGAGATCATCACAATAGTTTTGGGGAAATGTGAGATGGGTCTTTGGGCGTTTGATATTTTTTATATATATTTGGCCTTGGGGATGTCGTAGAGGCTATTTTGCACTACTCTGCCCTTCCTCTTGTCCTGTGACTTTTGGAAACACCACTTCCCAGTGACTGAATAAGAAAGAAAATGGGTAAAAAAAAGTTTCCATTTTATTTGCGTTCTTTTATAATCAGTGCTGTTCAAGAGTCTTGGTCTAGTTTTACGTCAGCATCTCGAGGAGGAAATAAACTTCGTGATCTCAGATTGGAGGTTTAAAAATTCCAGCTTCTGAACTTGGAAAACAACGTTAACCTTTAACCTTCTGTCCACAGAAACAAAGTAATATTCTTTGTGCATCTTCACTTTTCAGACTAGTTTGAGTCTTTGACCAGGTTACAAACAAGAACTGTTTATAGATAACAGGCTAGCATGTCTTATTCAACACTACATTTAAACCTGGAAAATATATTTTAAAGAAGGCTATCTCCTCTGAAGCCTGCTGTCTGCTTCATCCATTGATGATCTTCTGAGAGATGGCTCCTGGCAGAGTGTAGAACAACAGGGCGAGGAAGAGCACGGTGATGAGCAGGATTAGAGCGATGATGATGTACTTCTTGTAGCTTCGCCACACCAGGTGGAAGAAACACTTAAACGGATTCACAAACCAGGAGAAGGAGGTGTCGGGGCGGCTGCAGGAAGAGTGGAGGAAAAACTGTTTAGAAATGATGCTCAGTTTATTATGAACAAAAAGGTTTCGTAACCTCTGCTGTGTGACACTTCTTCACTTCTGACTTGATTGAGCTCAGGCACATTTTTGATTAGTGAAGACTAGAAATGAAGATTATTAAGATGAGTTCATTAAGATCTTACATGCATGATCTCATTGCTGCCACCAGGTGGCAGCAAGACTGGAATGGACTCCTCATGGTTCAAATTAGTCATAATATTTTATAAGCCCTTACGCCAAGCACTGTCAGCTTCATGTAACAGTTACTTCAGCAGTAATCTCACTTTGGTTTGGGCAGTGGCTCTGGCTCTTTCCTCGCCTTTCCTACTGGGTTCTTCTCAGCCTCGTCAGCTGTCACCAGATGGAACTCTGCCTCCACCTTCCCCTGGAGAGTCACAAAGATGATGCTGTTTCTGACAGTGTGTGTTGGTTTCTTTAATAGCCAGTGAGTGTGTGTGTAAGTGGTTACTGTGAGCTCTCCAGACTTGCAGAATGGCCACCAGCCACGAGCCCTCTTCTGCTGGAAGATGGAGATTTTCTCCATCAGGTCTGTCAACATCTCTGCTTTGCATGACTTGGCTGTTTTTGCTCCACGAGGAAATCCATGAAGGTCCAGCTCTAATGCACCTGCACACAAACACACAGACAAATGTATGAAATACACACATCGGATACACATGGAGAACTACTCACACACCCACCAAGGAAGTCGTCGGAGGAGAGCGTCTCAAAGTCCCAGACCTGCAGGATTAGGATGGCAGGGAGCTTCTGCTCGGTTTTGTCCAGTGAGAAGATATGTTCTCTTTTCTTCACCACCACCACCTGCAAGCGTTTGTACAGACCACTTTACAGGGTTTTTACTCTCAGGCTGGTGAACTAAAGACTGACCAGCATGGTTCCTTGTGTTTACCTTCTCAGCAGGCATATAGCTGAAGGGAAACACAAAGCGCCAGTTGAAGTTTCCTTCCCCGGTCAGAGAGTTGTAGTGAACATCTGTCTCCTGTCGGTCATCTTCTAAACCCTTCAGCCAGCTTCAAACACAGAACAATGAGGTGACCTGTACTGGGACTTAAACACATCTACAGAAAAGCCTAAAACTGAAACGGCTTGAGTCACCAAACAACCTTCTGGAAGAGTGAGACTGAATATTTAGATCATTTCTTCTCTGAATTCTACAAAAGCAACAAATGAGTTTGAGTTTGAATCCATTTCAGTGATTGAGATGGTGACTTAATTAAAGAGAGATGATCTTTAAGGGACAACAGGCCCGGTTCTGTCACAGATCCAACAGGAACTAAGCCTGGAGCCTTTACCCTTTGACATAAATATCACTGGACTGTTGGCCCGTCAGAAAGTTGGTGTCTTCCAGAATGACATCCTCTGTGTTCCAGATGATTATACGTAGCTCATACCTGAACACACACACACACACACCAGGAAATCAGCTCTGTCTATGACACGTTGATGCTGAAGAACCACTAGACCTCACCCTTTGGGTTTTCGAGGTGAGATGTCTACAGGAGGGCCTGGATGTGGTAGGTCCAAAGGGAACATGTCCACCCACATCTGAACCTGGCCCTACACCCACACACACACACACACACACACACACACACACACATAAAGAGAGACACACTATGTCTCATTTGAGCCCCTTCACCTGAGATCTGATGTGACATTTAGTCTTTAGCCACATTGACGAAACTAAGAACACATCTTGTGAGTTCTCTCAGTCATCACATGTTCTAACAATGAGTCCATATTTAAGTTAACTGGAGACTCCAAATTCTCCCTAGAGGTGTCAGTGAGTGTGTGCATTAGTAGATGAGCATCTTGATGTGATTGTACTTAGTAAAACACCTGATCCATTCCAGGCCGGGTCTTGTTGAAGAGAGTTCTGGTCTCAATGTGTTCTGGAACCAGCTTGCATCCCACACCAGGGATCTCAGCCCAGCGGTGCAGTATCTTCAGGGACAAGTGCTCGTAGGACTCCACCGGCTCATCTAAGAGGTGCAACATGCAGGGCTCACTACTGATCCATGTAGGTCAAAAATTAATAATAAGTACTGGGAGGTGTTTACCTTAAGAACATCTAGTGAACACATCTCATACATGTGACTAAGGACTCGCTATGATACAGTTTTACTCAGCTGTTGTTCCTTCAAGTTTAACTTTACGTAATGTTAACTCAGATGTACCTAACGTACACTGCTCCTGTGGGCCCATCTGACCAGACAGCTTGCTGTAATCACTTCCATAATAAAGCCACTTCCTGCTCATAAATCGTGAGCTGGTGAACACACACCCTCCACCAAAAAATAATAAACAAGCTGCATGATTTGCCTTTATCTTCTTCCATGTAGAGCGTCTTTCCGGTAAAAACTTTGCCTGCCACAACGATGCGACCGGGACTGAAGTGAGGGCCGTCCACTCCGTTTTCTCTGCACATCCTTGACAGCAACTCTGATGGCTTCAGACAGTCTCTCCAGGCGTTGTAACCCCCACTGCCAAACAAACAGAATGCTGTTTCAGTGTGTGTGTGTGTGTGTGTGTGTGTGTGTGTGTGTGTGTGTGTGTGTGTGTGTGTGTGTGTGTGTGTGTGTGTGTGTGTGTGTGTGTGTGTGTGTGTGTGTGTGCGTGCGTGCGTGCGTGCGTGCATGTGTGTGTGTGTGCGCTGAGGTGAAGTGAGCTCACAGGCTGTACTCAGTAGGAAGTCCACAGGTGGCTCTGTGTCGGCTGTAGAATCTGTTCTCCAGGTCTATGCGAGTCTCTCCAATCAGGTCGTCTCCTCCCACCAAGTCAAAGTCGTAAACAACCACTGACAGAAGAGACTCCTGAGGAAATGTAGCCTGCAACTCAAATGATCTGGAAGAACAGTTGCTGATGAAACCACTAAAAAAGGTTGTACTGCTCTGAGATTTGTGAACTAGTTAATAACCTTCCAAAAACAGGATTCAGCTCCTTGGGAATGTAGTTGTCTCTGTCTTTGATTTCATTTTTGCCAATGCGAAGAACAATGTATGGATCAGCTTTCCCGTCGGGGTCAGCTGGATGCAGGTTGGATGCCTGAGACGAGCAGGGATCATTTAAAACCAATGTGATTCCACGAGTGAAGGAGGAATCCGATACAGGACTGAGCAGCACTCACTGAGATGATGTAGACTCGTATGAGAACCTGGACCTGGTTGTTTGGAGGAATCCCTCTGTCAATTCTGTAGTGGCCCATGTCTCTGACTGCCTCCGAGCCTCCTTCTCCACCATCAGTCAGCTTGTAGAGGCAGAATCGTCCCTAAGGAAGCAGCAGAAGGAAATGAGTCGAGACATGTGAAGGTTTTAAAGACACGTTATCTCAAACAAAGGAAACGTACCTTAAACTTCCCAACAAACCTCTCCTCAGATGTTCCCTCCTCCTCATTGGCTTTTCCTCTGAACAGCTCGTATGTGGTCACCCAATCATCAAACGGTCCAAACTCTGCCTCCAGCTCCTTGTTGTACAGCTGCGCAGATTACCACAGGCATGCTAAGACACGGGGGTTTATGTTTCAGGACTTACTGACCTGATCTGGTCTTCACCAGGTTCTACATGGCTCTAATCTAACCTTGAATCTAGAAAAACACCCAAAGGTGCACCATGGTATTTATAAACAGAACAATGACCAGGTAGAGAAAAAAAATAAAGTGTTGGTCCAACAAAACCTTCATCAGCAATAGGAGCTCTCTGTAGGACATCATCATTTTCTCTCATGGTTCTGGGGGGCTTCTGGTTCATGCCAACATGTCTTCAATTCATGGAGATTTGCAGACATTTGGTTCTGCACAGCTTTTTGAAGGTTCTACCACAGCATTTCTGTCAGGAACAGTTCCAGACTTTGACTGGACCACACAGATTCTGTTCTAGACCTGCTACTGTGTTTAGGATCGTGGTTTTGTTTCATGACCTGGTACAGTCCAAGCTTCAGACACGTCTCCTCACACTGGCCCTCCAACACAAACTATCCACCACTGTGCTGACAGTTTGGACCAGCTGTTCCTGATGGTTTTGCTGTGACTGTATTTGTGGTGTTAGTTTAAAGAGGAGAAAATGTGGATGTAGAACAAGACTAAACCAAAGAGAGAGGAAGAGGAAGAATAAACCATTGCTTCTGTCGAGTTTCATGGGCACCGTGAGATCCCTCTCCAGTAAGAAGGGGTGTACTTGAAGTGCTGGTGAGGACCCAGAATATCAGGAATGCAGTATGATGTGTTCACAGACATGGCTGCAGGATCACATCCCCACCTCCAACGTCTCTGTACATCTTTCAGACACACGCACACAGAGACCTGAAGAGGAGTGGTGAGATGCTGGTGCTCCCGTAGCCCAACACAGGAGAAGGTTCCAGTGCTGTGGAAGACTTCCCAATGCCTACAAGTCCCATCCGTGTGTCCTTAATAACTAATAACAAGTTGCCCTAACATCACATCTCCTTTGAAGCTGTCTCCCAAACATTAGAGATCATTCTTTGGGGGTTAATGGGGGCGACGGTGACACAGGAGTTAAGTGCTCGCCCTGCAATCGGAAGGTTGCAGGTTCGAGCCCCGCTCAATCTGTCGCTGTCGTTGTGTCCTTCGGCAAGACACTTAACCCACGTTGCCTGCTGGTGGTGGTCGGAGGGACCGGTGGCGCCAGTGCTCGGCAGCCTCGCCTATGTCAGTGCGCCCCAGGGCAGCTGTGGCTACATCGTAGCTCATCCCCACCAGTGTGTGAATGGATGAATGACTGACTGTGTTGTAAAGCGCCTTGGGGGGTTCCAGGACTCTAGAAGGCGCTATATCAAATACAGGCCATTTACCATTTTAAACCATCAAATTAGTTCCCAAGCACGGTCGTGTCTGAAGTTCACCGTTCCCCCAGGGGTTGGGTCAAATGCAGAGAACCAATTTCACCAGTGTGTAATGACTAATGGGACTCTAACTTTATATGTGAACAAAACTAAGAAGATGATTGTGGATTTTTGGAGAAATGATTATATCAAACATTTATTTCATCATGGGGGATATAAATAGGTTCAGTGTCCACCTGGACAGCAGACTGGACTGGAGACACAACAGAGACTGTTTACAATAAAGGACAGAGCAGACTGGATACTGACAGCTAAGATCATTTAGTGCTTGCACCTATATGCTGCACAAGTCTGTTGTGGAGAGTTCAGTCTGATGTACCAGTTTTGTGTTTCGACACCAAGCTATTTTCATCACGATGAAGGAGAGTGAGCGGAAAATAATGATGTCAAAAATCTCATTTGATCAGTGATGATGTGTTCTGGTGTGTTTATTGGAAGAAGCTGAATTTCTTTCCTAAATTCTGAACTTAAAGCTGAGTTTGAGTCTCTGATAAAATTACCTGCAGTGTGGCTAATTTTGTACGTAGACCAGAGTGGAACTCTAGAGTTTCCTTCCCTTTCTGCTTCCTCTTCCTCTCTCCCTCTGCCTGGACGCTGACTGAGAGACAAAACAGCTGATGTTTACAACTACTGATACAGAGCACAGGAGAAACAAACATGTAGGGACAGTTTTCAAAAGCCGGCAACAGCCTCAAAGTTCAGTTTTAATATTGAACAATGTGCTCTAAAGTAGGGCTGCACAATATGTTACTAATTACTCATCATCACAGCAGTTTCTGCAACAGCAATATGACTAAGAACTGCTTTTCCTGATGGACTGTCTTCTGTGGAACTAGGATTGGGACAACATTACATTTAACTTGTACCAAGTTTTGTAACTTGTAACATGTTTTGTAACTGTGACTTTTGTTTTGTAACAGGTAACTTTAGTTTTGCAGCATGCAATTCTCATTTTGTAACATGTAATTTTGGTACTTAACATGGAACTTTTATTTTGTAACTTGCAGAAAAAAGTCAATGTACAAGTTTCAAATCACAACTTTCAAAACACAAATCTCAGTCTACAGTTACAAAACTCAAGTCTACAAGTACAAAACATTTTGTCCAAATTATCGCTTCCTTCCAACAGGAATTGTCTTGAACAGGAATCCAAGACTCGTGAATCTTTAGGAAGGAAGCTAGAATTGGGACAAAATGTTTTGTACTTGTAGACTTGAGTTTTGTAACTGTAGACTGAGATGTGTGTTTTGAGAGTTGTGCATTGACTGCTTTCTGCAAGTTACAAAATGAAAGTTTCATGTTACGTACCAAAAGTTACAGTTACAAAACATGTTACAGGTTACAAAGCTTGGTACAAGTTACATTTAATATCGTCCCAATCCTCGTTCCATAGTTCCCGTCCTTCATGTCTATAAGCGGTTTAGATGATACAGACATGGAAAGTGTTGTGGTTGGTGTGTTGCAGTTTAAGAGGAGGATGTCAGTTTTTTGTAACCAATATCATGATCGCAATAGTCCAGAATAATGTCACAGTCTGTTGTTTTTCTAACGTGGTGCAGCCCTAATTCACAACCACATTCTTCTTCACCTGCAGAATGTGTCTGCACTGTATCTCCAACACAAAACTCTAACCCACAATAACATTCATTTATTACACATACCATGTAGATTATTCAGGGACATAACCACTTTTGCACTGTCAAACCTACAAACAGAGCAGCCAACATCTGTGTGCAGCTGTGCCTCAGAGAGCACATTCAGTCAGTCCCAAAGCCTGCAGCTGAGAAAGGGAAGCATGACTCTTTCAGATCTGCATCCTTACCCAAAGACTCTATTCCATCGCTGAGCATGCTGTGGTAGGACAAAGCTGTAACGCACAACAATGTGTGGGTCAAGGGTCAACTATCAGGAAGCACAATCTACTGCTAGTTCACGTTCAACAGTCAGGAAAAAGAAATGAGCTCCTGAAGTCAGTAGTCTGAGCTGCTTCTTTTCCTCTGATGTGTTTGTTGTTTGGTCTCTGATTGACTCGAATCCAGAGGAAGTTAGTTAGAGAGCCAAAACAAGAAAATACCTTTAATTCTACACAAGTGCCTCATGATTTTTGTCTTGATAGCTGCTATATAAAAGATTGTTTATTTCTTTTTTCTTTCACACTGAAATTGGTTTGAATTCTGGGTAACACCAAGACTTTGTACATTCACATCTTTTGCACATGACAGCTTTGGAGTTTGTCAACTTTCTCTGTGAAGCAGCGCTCACACCTGGTTTGGCTCACCCGAGGCTGGTTTGGCAAGTTAAATCCTAAAGGGGGCAAACAAAAATGCAGGATGCCGTGTCTTTGATTTAAAGAGATACAGAATACTGAGGAACCAAGAGAGACACACCAGTGACACCCTCGCTATGTTTCTGTATAATCCAGATTAGGAAGGTGAGGCCTCCTTGTAACTTTCTCTCACCTGTAGTAGATCAGCAGACAGAAGCTGATAGTATTTGTATTCATCTGCCATAAACAAAGAGTGTTGTCATTATTATTGGCTCAGATCTAAAGTCAAATGTAATTTTACATCTGACATAATATCAATTATTTGTATAACTAAAGGAAAAGAGCCTTAAAATACAAATTACCCCCCAAAATTGAGAACGGTTAAAATAAATTAAGAAAAAAGATTAGAAGTGACAATAAATATTCCAATTTATTTGAATATTATTAAATCAGTATTTTAAAACTAACTGGATGATTCCATTAGGAGATTCTTGATCTGCGAGGTATAAACAGTCTTTTTGTTTTGAAATTATATATTTTTTAAACTAGTAAGAAGAAAGAAACAATGTTAAAGATGCAATAATTTCACCAGTGTTTTGTAAACTTGCTCTCTGGGGTCTAAAACGCTCCTGAAGGCCTGATGATGTCATCTACAGCTGTCTTTGACTGGTTTTACACAGAATGGAGATCCTGTATTTCACTGGTTGCTGATAACAACGTCCTCATGGTTTAATCCCTCATTTCTGTTGCCGACAGTTGAAACCAGTTCACGAGCTTTTTATATTTAAATGGTCCACTGGTCAGGGAACTGAATCAGTGACTAGTGGGCGACATTACAACGCCATGAAACCTGGAAAAGTATTGACTAAGACCATTTCATTAACAGTTAGAAATAGATCAAGATGCTTCCATGGAGCAGAATCCCTCCTTGGTGGTGTCTGATAACCCTTTTTACTGATCATTGACCTTCAGGGAGCTTTAACTCCCTCTCAGGATACATGAGAGCTGCTTGCCTTTCTCAGAGATGAAGGGTAACTGAGAGATGTCCTTCAGCTTTGCCTGAAACACAGAAACAGCACAGCTTTTAGATTTGGACTGACACCTGTCCAGTCCTTTAAGACAGCTCTGAAAGTTACCTGCTTCTCCACAGACGCGTAGTATTTGGACCACCAGTCGATGACGGACTCTGCTGACTCATCAGCAATGGTCCGCCGCCTCCTCTTGGTGGAACGACGGGTGCTTTTGGCGCTGATCTCCTGTGTGAAAAAGACGAACAGAGTGAGGACTGTGTGAAGAGTGACGATAGCTACTGACATGTTTTTATAAAAGTCTGTTTTACCCTTTTCTTCCTGGGTTCTGGCTGAGCTGGAGGTGAAGATGGAGCAGGAGCTGGAGCTTCCTCCTCCACAGTGACGAGGAAGTCCTGATTGGTCACTGCCACTGCAGAACTAGTTCCTGCAGTGCTGTGTGATGGACCTGCTCCACAAAAGGCAACAGAGAAGGATATCACACTTACTTTGTTCTAACAGTGAGAGAGAATAAAACAGGTCAAAACTGTTGAAGAATTGTTTTTGCCCGTGGAACGTTTAATAGTTCTGATGTTTGAACACATTTTTGGAGAGCTGGTAACAACGTGACATCTCACACATGCTTTACCTTCAGAGACCGGAGGCTCTGTGGTTGGAGCTGGTCCGGCCTCCGTGACCTGAGTTGGTCTCTGTGTTCGGTCGGTTGGAGGTGGGGCTGGAGGTGGAGTGGACTTGAAAGCTTTGAGATTGTTGATGATGTGGTTTCCAACCAGCGTGCTGCGGCCGAAGGCCCGCCAGTCGACTACCGTGATACTGAGAGGAGGATGGAGGTGTTCGTTCTCCGGAAGCTCCTGGAGAAGAGTAGAGAACAAATACACCCGTGCTGAAGAACCAGGTTCTGAATGAGCTAGATCAGGGGTTCCCAATTTCTTTTTTTTTTAGGACCCCCTTGCTCATGTCCAAGACAAGCCAGGACCCCTAGCCCCAACTCCTACATGCGTACACACGTTAAATGTGATCATTTACCATCTCTATACGGACACACGGTTATAAATTATATATGGAGTTCTGATTATACTGTAGAGTGTGTTATTGGGAGTTTAAAAATGTAATTTTTACAAATAAGTTCTTGCTAACCTCACAATCTCAGCAAAGACAAAATTGTGGGGACCCGCTGTGATTTTGTGGGGACCCCCTATTTGGGAACCCCTGACCTAGATGACCAACAAAGTGGGATTACCTGAACTTTATTTTAATACTTGATAATTATTCTACTGATGTTGAAAGCTGCCATTGATGAAAGTAAGATGTGTTCTTTTATCTAGCCCCTACATTTGGATTGTTATTAGTGAGATTCGTGTTTTTGTTTGGAGTGTGTTCACTTTACCAGCTCCATGGAGTCTACCAGCGTAGTGAAGTTTGGGTTGGACTTGTACTTTTGAATGACGGAGGACCGCAAAGTTTTACCTGCACACTCTATAAACACCTGAAAAACAGAGAAATCCAGGTGTTTCAGGCTCTAGTGGGCCCGGCTATTATACTTTATAATAACTGGTCACAACCCTGAACTCGCCATGAACTCTTCCATGTAATGTTTTCTCACCTGTGGTCGGTCAACAGACAGAAGCTGAACCTTCCTCAGCTCCCTCAAACCCCAGAACAACACCTTGTGGGGAAACCAAAAGAAAAGCACTTTTAATACCAAAATCATTACTTTCACTAACTTCCCTTCAGGTTGTCAAACCTCCAGTCTGTAGGTGCTGAGAACAGGCCTGATGTTGGCAGGAACTGTGTAGATGCCTCCTTCCTCTTCCTCTAAAGCCGGTAGACTCGAATGGCCAGACTTGGGGATCTGCGCAAGACTTGTATTAGAACTCCATCTTGCAGTTGTGTAGATGCCGAGGTGAGACTGACTGACCTGGAGAAGTTCAAATGCAGCAAGTAGGTCTCCTCCTGACTGGCTTCCATAGTGAAGTGGACTATACTGCAGGGTGGGGGGGATGTAGGGTTCAGAGGTCAGATGCACACCAGGGACTGCCACAGTGGCTCCCAGGTACTCAGCTTTACCCTGGACACATTAGGTGGAGTTCAGAAACATCAGCCATAATCTAAACTGTGACGACTGGATTGCACCATGGGTCTACAGCTGGCGTTACCAGAGCGTCATCATCGTACACCTCGATGACGACACGCGGGGGCTCCTTCTGGATGAACTGCAGGTCTCCACTCAACAGGATGCGGCTCATTAACAAGCACTGGTTCCATGTTGGACTCAGGGTCTGACTGATTATCTGACAACACAAGCAAAACAATAAACTTAGGACAGCGCATGAAATAAGGACAGGAACTGTATCTGACTCATCTCCCTCACTAGACTCCAGCATTGTTTGCAGTCCCTGTCTCTAGTCTCTGTCTCCTCTCTGTTTTCTGACTCTAGGCTGTGACTCAGATCTGTCACATCATCTCTTGTTTCAGTTTCTAGTCTCTGATAAGTTTCTTGTCTTTGTGTTTGACTCTTGTCTCTGTCCCTAATCTCTAGTTCAACTCCCCACCTCTAGTCTCTATTTCAGGTATTTGTTCTTACTAGCTGAGGTCTCTGTCATTAGCCCCTGACTTGTGTCACTGTTTGAAGACTCGCTTTTATCTGCTGCAGGTCTCGTTCTCTGGTCTCAGTCTCTGCCTTTAGTCCATGGCTCTTGTTAAGAGGACTGCCGAACAGGCAGGGGCCTTAGTGTTATGCACTGACCAAATGGTCTCTTTATTATTATTATTATTATTATTATTATTATTATTATTATTATTATTATTATTATTATTATTTATATGTGAATTTGGCTCAAACGGAAGTATGTACCCCCATAAATCATACATCAAATCGACCCGCTCAGTCGGGAAAGTGTGCTTTTACCTTTTTTAGATTTTTGAGTTGCCATGGCAACATATTTTTGCAAAAACTACTATTTTGTACTTTCAGGGAATGCTCTTGACTTCTGTAAAATATTTGGTGCTGCCCATTTGATCACGTGATCACGTGTTGCACAGGAGCAGGGGCCTCATTTATCAAGCTTGCTTACGCACAAAACCGGGTTGGAAAACTGTGAAAGCAGCTTTCCACGCAAACGTTGGGATTTATGAAAGAAAACTTAGTGAGGGTCGGTTAAATTGCTAGAGGTTAGAGGTGAAATGTCGGTGAAATCTCCGTTTTACCGCGGGCGTCGGAAAACGATGCTCTGGCACAGTGAGTCGCCTCTCGACGTGCAGGAGCTCTCAACGCGTCGGAAACAAACGCTTGGTCACACCGCGTCATTTTTCAACGTTTAGGGTGTGAGAATGTGTTGACCCCCTTGAGGAACAATCAACATCCAAATGAAGAAAACGCTGCTGTACCGTAAGAGGTTCTTTAGTTTCCCTGCACTCTTGTCATCAGTCATTTTGTATTTTTAACCAATACCTGAAGAACAGACACACTTGTCAGGTTGGCCCACACTTACATTCGTGGTTAGGCTGTGTGAGAGGAACGTGACCCGGGCGAATGGGTCTGACAGGCCCGTGTTGTCTGCAGCTATCAGACCGCGAGCCTGATACACGTGGCAGCGCAGCTGAAAGTGGTGGTGCTCTGCAAACACAAAGAATAACAGAACATTTCCTCAACTTGCCATATTGGCCTTGCATTCACAGATGTGGAGTTCCCTGTCTACTGCCACCAGGACAAGTTCCTTTGGAACTGTGACTTTTACCCAGAAGAGAACGCTGGTCTTACATTGAAATGTGCTTTTAACCACACAATCACAAATGGTTTTCATAAATCTTCATAAAACAGAAGGCTCTACGTGTCATCAGCTCTCAAATCGGTGCTCAACGTCCAGTGAACAATCTGAATAACTGTGGCAGGAAGGCTGTCAGAGTAACTTAGAGTAAAAGTTACTCTGATGAAGATACAAGAAGTGTCGAAACAATCGCATTTTTCTTTGGTGCTCACACCTCTTAAAAAGGTTTTCTCACACGAGTGCTCCAGCCTTCCTGTCATGTTTTCATAAATCTGTTTTTGATATCTGCTGGAGTTTTTCGACCCAGCTAAACTAGGGGAAAACTAAGTAACATTATAAACAGTTATTAATGGTTTCAACACTGAATAAAAGAAAATAAAAATTGTAAACCAACTTTCAGGGTATTTACAAATGCAGCTGGATCTGGAATAACAATATTTACCCATAAAGCAAAATCAGGCTACAAAAGCTACAGAATAAACTTCATTACTTAAGTATTTTAAAACTTAGTTTATTAATGACAAATGTTGTTGAATAAATAAAAAATATTAGAGCAGTTTTTCTTAGGTTTTATTGGGATGACACAGTAACAGGCCTCCAGCCTGACAACAGACACAAAAAAACACACGTCTGGCTCAGCGTGACTTGTTAGGTGACTCTTTGACTCCAATCAAAGGGCGGGAATAACGAAACTATCCAAATGGACACGGAATGTCCATTTTTGTTTAGTCACTCTTTTTCAGTGAACTCAACTTGTCGTTTTTGGTTAAATGTTGTTGACTTTAAAAGACGAAATTTGAGTTGTACAAAAACAGCATCTTCTGTTCATTTCAGTTTGGCCTCATCATTTTTCAGAGTCACAAGAAGCCAGAATCAGCCTCCAGATGGTTTGTGTTCGAACAATTAAAGCTAAAAGCTGATAAACGAAAGGGTTCACCAAGGTCCAGGGCCACAGCTTCTTCCTCACCTGTGCAGACCAGGTGTGAAGGGGGGCTGCTGGCATCAGCACCCCCCTCGTTTGGTGTGTATCCTGCAGGTAGGTCATCCAGCATGTGGGAGGAGTCTGAACAAGATCCAAACCACAGATACACGTCTAGCTTGGCCTGAACCGTCAATGCTGCAGCACGCTTTCCTGGAGGCTGCACACACACACACACACACACACACACATTCATGAAATGCACATATTAGTGTGTGTGTGTGTGTGTGTGTGTGTGTGTGTGTGTGTGTGTGTGTGTGTGTGTGTGTGTGTGTGTGTGTGTGTGTGTGTGTGTGTGTGTGTGTGTACCTTTAAGAACAAGGTTACTACTTTCCCACAGAGAACCCCTCGGGATTCCTGGTTGCCAGAGTACAGCAGGTCGCGGGTTCGAACCCTGGCGTAAGCTACTCGTTTGTTGTTGCTTAGCAACCACACAAACATGTCTGGTACCATGTGCTGGGGCTGCAGGGTAAAAGAAGAAACGAAGATGTAGAAAATGAACTGAATCCATCCTAACTCCCTACAGTCTTATCACCTCTTCCACAAGGAACCTGAGTTTCTGCATTATCTTTGTAGCTTCCTGCAGCATTTCTTTTACTCCACCAGCTTTTCTTCGTCTCTCTGTCAATGACTTGGCCTCTCCTATCATACCCTCCTGCAACACAAATGCAACCTGGATGTTTACAACACATTTACTGGGATTTATTTTCATAACTGTCATCAGCATGAACTAATCAGGAATTGCTGTGAATATTTATGACCAAACTAGAAACTAGCTTAGGTCAGTCCTCAAAGGTTTAAATGTAAATCTTAAAGGTTGAATGTGAAAAAATTTAATAAAAAGCTTCACAGGACATTTAGAAGTGTGCAGAATGAAGGTACAGTATTTTCCTTTAAAAGCTATATTTCAAAAATAATCAAATATATATTTGACGGGCACGACATTGGGTTTATGTTTACATCTACCAGCCAATAGAGGGCACCATTGCGGGTTCCTCAGCATGGTGAGGCTGGCACAGTAGAAAATGGTGGACTTAGCAAGTCAAGTAGCTGTTTCTGAGCCCAGAAGATGTCCTTATCCTTCTCAGAAGAAGTGTGATCGTAGAAGATCTAAAACCAGAGTTAGTGTAGGTGAAGCCTACAACAGATGGACCCAAATAAAAAAAGTCACGTATCAACAGCAAACCTGGTATCCCGACAGCTGGAAACCTTATTCTATTGTTGCAACTACAACCTCCACACTAGCTGTCGCTTTGGTGTTCGTGTTCCATATTCAACCTTTAAGTTTTTATCCGTGTCTTAATATTTTTACCACAGTAAAGATGTACTTTTATCAAACAGATTTTCTTTTATTTTTACAAACTGCTAATGCAAGAAGAGAAATTCATATCTTACTTTTTTCTGGCAGAAAGAAAAATAGGTTATAAAAATGAATTAGTAAAAATAGTAAAACACATAATGCATAAAACAATAAGTTTGGGTCTTGTTCTGATAAAGTAAAGATAACTTTAAGTCTTACTGTACACCACTGTACACAGCCCAACTATGGACTAACTATAAGAAATGTAGTATGCTTAGGCTGTAGGTTATAATAATAATAATAATAATACATTTTATTTCAAAGCGCCTTTCAGGACACCCAAGGTCACTTTACACAAAACACGTAATAAAATACAATAAAACAATAATAAAACCCAAAGAAGAAAAAACAGAGAGAAACATTTCAATAAAATCAGAGGTTGTAGGCAGATTTAAACATATGTGTTTTGAGTTTTGATTGGAAAAGGGTAAAACTGTCGATGTTCCTGATGTCTGGGGGAAGTGAGTTCCAGAGTCGAGGAGCAGAGCGGCTGAAAGCTCTGCTCCCCATGGTAGCGAGACGGGCAGAAGGAACCGCAAGATGGATGGAAGAAGAAGATCTGAGTGAACGGGACGGGGTGTGAATACTTATAAGGTCTGAGATATATGGAGGAGAGAGGTTGTGGATTGCTTTGAAGGTATGGAGGAGAATTTTGAAGATGGGCCTGAATTTAACTGGGAGCCAGTGGAGCTGCTGGAGAACCGGCGTGATGTGGTGAAAGGAAGGGGTTCTGGTGATAATACGGGCTGCTGAATTCTGGACCAGTTGCAGTTTATGAAGGAGTTTGTTGGGGAGACCATAAAGAAGTGAATTGCAATAGTCGAGACGGGAGGTGACGAGGCTGTGGACGAGAATGGCGGCAGTGTGAGGGGTCAATGAGGGACGAAGACGGTTTATGGAACGTAGATGGAAGTATGCTGACCGAATTAAGTTATTAATGTGAGCCTGAAAAGAAAGGGAGCTGTCGAGAATGACACCCAGACTCTTGACATGAGGTGAGGGGGAGACTGTGGCACTGTCAATAGTTAAAGAAAAGCTGTCAGATGTTGAGAGGGTGGAGTTAGTGCCAACTAGAAGAAGTTCAGTTTTATTGCCGTTGAGTTTGAGGAAATTAGAGGTGAACCATGATTTGATTTCAGAGAGGCAGAGTGTAAGGGAGGATGGTGGGAGAGTTGAGTTGGGCTTACTGGAAATGTAGAGCTGGGTGTCATCTGCAAAGCAGTGAAACTGGATATTGAATTTGCGGAAGATTTTGCCGATAGGGAGGAGATATACTATGAAGAGGAGGGGCCCCAGGACAGAGCCCTGGGGCACACCTGACTTGACTGGGGAGGGTTCTGAGGTAAAGGATTTTAACTGGATGAACTGAGTGCGGCCAGTAAGGTAAGATTGAAACCAGCGGAGGGGGGTGTGAGTGATGCCTAAGGAATAGAGTCTATTAAGGAGGATGGGATGAGAAATGGTGTCAAAGGCCGCACTCAGATCGAGGAGAATAAGAATAGAGATTAAACCAGAATCAGCAGCAATGAGTAGGTCGTTAGTGATCTTGATGAGAGCTGTTTCTGTGCTGTGGTGGGGACGGAAGCCAGACTGAAACTGTTCATAAAGGTTATTGCGGGTGAGATGTGAATGGAGCTGAGATGCAACAGTTTTCTCAAGGACTTTGGAAATGAAGGGAAGATGGGAAATGGGACGGAGGTTATTGAAATCATTGGGATCTAAACCAGGTTTTTTTAGAATAGGGCTGACTGAAGCGGATTTGAATAGGGATGGGACCGTACCAGAGGATAGTGAGGAATGAATAATGGCTGTTATAAAAGGGAGCAGAGAAGAAAGGCAGGATTTAACTAAAACAGTTGGAATAGGGTCCAGTTGACAGGTGGAAGGTTTGGATTTGGTGATGTAATCTAATATTTCTGAGGGATGGGGAAGTTCAAAGGAGGAGAACGGAATGGTGGGTTCAAATAAATCAGGAGAGGGAGGGGAGGAATGAGGTAAAGAGAGATGGATTCTATTGACCTTCTCATTAAAAAACTGAAGGAGAGAGTTACAGGTTTCTGAAGAGTAAAGATGGATGGGTAAGGAGTCGGGAGGCTGAAAAATGCTGTTCATGATGGAAAATAATGTTTTAGTGTTGCTGGAGTTGGACGAGATGAGACCGGAGTAATACTGAGATTTGGCATGGGAGATGGAGTCCTTGTAGAGAGAAATCTGAGCAGAATATAAGTCTTTATGGATGGTGAGACCGGTTTTCTTGTAGAGTCTTTCAAGCCTCCGGTTGGTAGCTTTCAAGGAGCGAAGGGCAGGGGTGAACCATGGAGCAGACCGAGTAAAATATACAGAGCGGGATTTGATGGGAGCAAATGAATTAAGGATAGAAACCAGACCGTTATTGTACTGAATGACAAGATCATCAGGAGTAGAGGACAAATTAGGGGTCAAGGTGGCAAAACTGGAGGACAGGGAGGCTAGATCAATGTCCTTAATATTACGAAAAGAAATGATACGTGGTGACTTGATGATGGAGAGACGGAGGGGAACAGAAAAGGAGATGAGGAAGTGGTCCGTGAAAGGGAGCGGGTCAGCTGTACAGTTGGAGGGGGTCAGGCCGGAGCAGCAGATTAAATCCAGGGCGTGACCTTTAATGTGAGTGGGAAAATTGGCATATTGATGAAAACTGAGGCTGTCCAAAGATGAGGAGAAGTCTTTGCTGAGGGGGAGGGCCATATTGTCCATATGAATATTAAAATCACCAAGTAAAATTACATTTGGGGAAAGGGCGGACAGATGGGATAAAAGAGCAGAGAGTTCATTTAAAAACTCAGGGCTGAACTTGGGGGGACGATAAACAGTGACAATTATTGTGGGGGTCGGGCCGGAGAGTTGACAGGCGAGGCATTCCAGAGTGGTGAGAGGAGGAAGGTTTACGGGAAGGACCTTCCAAGTCTCGCGATACAGTATCGCGAGACCACCGCCGCGGCCCGACCCACGGGGTTTGGAGAGGTAAACAAATCCGGGAGGAGTACAGTCATTGAGTTGTGAGAAATCGCTGGGTTGTTGCCATGTTTCGTTCAGACAAAGAAAGTCTAGCTTATGGTCACTGATGGTATCTTGGAGGAGATGTCCTTTACCAGAGAGGGAGCGAATGTTGAGAAGACCAAAATTAGCAGTGCGGAAGTCCCTGGCGACAGGAGCATTAGTCCGACTAGCCAGCCGGGCTAACACGCTGGAGTCGGCAGCTCGGCAGGTATTCCTGGGTAGCCGCCGGCTAGTCGTGGACCAGAAGGAGGGTATTCCTTTGGAGCCGTCGAGATGGAGGTTCCGCCGGGACCCCCGATGGATATACCGACGGCGAGGCTGGAAGGTGATGTCGGGGAAGAGGCACAGAGCTGGTGGTGGAGATCCGGAGTAGCGAAAGCGGAGGTTGAAGAGCTCCGCCGCCGAGTACTGGAGAAGGCCATCCACGGACAGAAGAATGAGCGACAGGATGATCCAGGCCAGTGCGAGGCACACAGAAATCCTGCTGGACCACATTATGGAGTGGAGCAGGGAGGTGGTGATGTGCAACCAGAACGCAAGCTGAGCAGGTAGGTGAAAATGAGTTTTCACCGACACAGGGATGTGACCAGGGTGAAAAAGGTTGCCTATAATGATGCTCTGCATTTGATTCTAAGGAAGCCTAGATGGACAAGTGCAAGTGAGACTTTAGTAAATGCAAAGATGAGCACCCTACAAGCTGTCTTAAGAAATTGTATCGATATATATTTTTTGTAGGCCGGACAATTCTAAAAATGTGATTGTTTTAATTCTAACCAGTACCTGTTACCTCCAGTCAAAGATGTGGAAACACTGGTATAACAGTCTTTTTTATTTTTTAGATTAGGGAGTTACTATAATTATACTTTATTTTCACACTACTGTTATTATTGTTTCTTGTTTCTGTTCTTCATGATTACTCGTCTCTTGTGCTTTATTTCATTTCATTTCATTTATTTATAAAGCCCCTTCTGCGAACAATGCAGATGCCCAAGGTGCTGAACACAACACAATAAAAACATAAAACCATCAGAATAAAATATAACAATCGTAAAACCAGCATAAAATCAATTAAAAGAGGAGAATAAAAGCAAAAAATAAAATCCAGAAAAAGATTAAGAGGCCAGGGCATTGAAACTGGGTAAAATTTGCTAAACCTGAAAAGCCTTGACAAAAAAATGGGCCTTAAGGCGAGTCTTAAAAACCCCCAATGAGGGTGACTGACGCACCACCAAAGGCAACTGGTTCCAAAGTGCAGGTGCCAACACAGAGAAAGCACGGTCCCCCCGTGACCTGCACTTAGTGCGTGGAACGATCAACAGCTCCCTGCCGGCTGAGCGAAGTGCCCGCGAGGGGGCATGCCGAAGCAAAAGGTTTCCAAGATATGCTGGAGCAGTTCCATGTAAGGCCCTGTATGCCAGCACCAAGACCTTGAATTTTGCAGCCAATGAAGGGATGCCAACACAGGGGTGATATGCTCCCTGCGCCTAGGGCTTGTCACGAACCTAGCGGCTGAGTTTTGAACTAACTGCAAGCGTGCTACCGCACCCTGACCAAGGCCGGCATACAGTGCTTTGCAGTAGTCGAGCCTTGAAAGAACAAAAGCATGTGTGACAGTCTCTAGATGTACTCTGGACAGCAGGGGCTTAATTCTGGCTAGTCGGCGTAAGTTAAAAAAACATGATTGTACAACCTGGTTGATTTGCGCATCGAATTTTAGGGCTGAGTCCAGTTGCACTCCCAAATTTCTGATGGTGGTCTTCATGTTGGATGCTAAAGGGCCCAGATTCACAGCATTGCATGGGCATGTAGACATGCCAGGGCTGAGTACAATTACTTCAATCTTAGCGTCATTCAAATGTAAAAAGTTTGTATCCATCCAGGAGCGCACATCCTCTAAGGCATCTACAAGCTTTGACATTGACCCATCGACCCCTCGCTGAAGGGGGAGGTAGATCTGACAGTCGTCAGCATAAAAATGAAAATGCATGCCGAACCGCCGAAGAAGATTCCCCAACGGTAGTAAGTAGATGGCAAAAGAAGCGGACCCAGTACAGACCCCTGTGGCACACCCCACTTGAGTCCCTTCCAGGTCGAGGAGGTTTCACCTACACTGACACAAAAACTCCTGTCAGATAAGTAGGAATGTAGCCATTGTAGGGCTGCAACTGTAATTCCCGCCCAATGTTGTAGCCGATCCAAAAGTATGTCATGATCGACCGTGTCAAAGGCCGCAGACAAATCTAACATCAAAAGAATGAGAGCAACCCCCCCCCCCCCTCACAAGCTAAAAAAAAACATCATTAAGAACCATTAAAAGTGCAGTCTCAGTACTGTGACCTGCTCTGAAAAGATCTCCCAGAGTTCGTTAGTGTCTAAAAATGCAACCAGCTGTAAATTTACAACCCTCTCAAGCAGCTTAGATAAGTAAGGCAGATGTGAGATAGGTCTGTAATTGGCCAACACAGCCTCCTCCAACCCCTTCTTTTTCAGCAGTGGTCGTACAACAGCCCTCTTAAAGGTAAGGGGAACCAGACAAGAGGCCAGACTGGTATTTAAGATAAACAGTATATAAGGGGCCAGAACAGAAAAAGGCTCCTTAAGCATCCTTGGGGGAAGAGCATCATAAGGGGAACCAGAAGGTTTTTGCCTAGAAATGAGTTCCTCTAGCTCTGTCATAGATATAGTCTGGAAGGCTGGCAGGTTTGCCCTAAGTGGCATAGGCTCCACGAAAACAGGAGTGCGACCTACAGTAGCAGCCCGAATCATCGCTATCTTGTCCACAAAGTAGTGAAGAAAATCTTCACATGTCCCGGCCAACGCAGCCGTGGACCTGGAGGCAGAAGTTGCAGTTTCCAGTACTGAATCAATTACCTTAAAAAGAGTGCGTGGGTCATGAGAATTTGATTCCACAATGTTGGCATAGTATCTGATCCTAGCCTGTCGTACCACTTCCTGGTAATCAAAAAGTGACTTTTTATAAATTTCATAGGACACGTGAAGTTTGTCTTGCTTCCACTTTCGCTCAGCTCTCCTGCAGGCCTGCCTGGAGGCCTGGGTCTCATCAGACATCCACGGCTCTGCCCTATGCCCTCCTTTCCTAATCTTAAAGGGAGCAACATTATTCCAAACGGATGTGCATAGCGTGTCAAAACGAGTAATAAACTCTTCAACAGGGAGGTGGGCTAAGAGAAGATCCTGTCCTGCTAGACCAAAGCTCTCACTGAATCTCGCCACCTTAGCAGGATTTATGGCACGACTGCGCCTCTCAGGAAGAGAAGCTGGGACCTGCCGAGACGGAACACTAAGATTACATAAAATCGGAGAGTGGTCTGAAAAAACAGGCCTCAGCATGTCCAAATTAATGGACTGAAGACCAGAGGAAAGAACCATGTCAAGAGTGTGTCCCTTCACATGTGTAGGACCCTTAACCCACTGAGAAAGATTCAGTGAACTTCAGTGAGCTTTAGCATGTCATATTGTGCTCATTTCATTTTATCTTATCTGTACAATGTTTTTCTTCTTCTGTGAATTGGAGTAAGGGTCCAGAGTAAAGAATACTTGAATACAAAGCGTGAAAAAGGTTTTGTCAGACACAGGAAGATATCACCACTTCATCACTTCTACAGTCCAAGCCATACTCGAGTACAGTTAAACCTCCATTGTCACTTCCTTCTGAGTTTGTTTTGAGAATCTGCCCTCCCTGTTTAATTTTGAAGCCTCTTGTCTCATTTGTGCATCCTTATATAACACCTACATGATGCTGTAATGTCTGTAATGGAATGGCTACATGTAATTGCAGTTCTTCTCCTTGATGATCTCCTTAGAGTTCTCCTGGTGCATTTTTCTCTGTTTAAATTCAGCAGATACAAACCACTGACTGAACTGGTTAAAGGTTTTCTCATCCTGGCTGATTGTGCCGTGAAATCTTCTGACCGTTTTTTGCAGTTATCTAGCTCCAGTGTTAATTTATCCACCTCAGTGTTTGTCTTATGTCTCTTTTTGGTTTTTCCTTTCTTTCCTCTTGTCATACTTCAGTTTTTCCTGAACATTTGCACAAATGTTTCTGACAAATTAGTAATTCATATTTTAGGATGTTTTACATCCCCTTCATGATAGATAACATCACTCCAACTGCACATCACAGAGCCAAACCCAAGTACATAATGCTCTGTTGCCACAGCTTCCTGTGTAGAAGGATGCCTAACTGAATGTTGGTACTGTGTGTTGGATGAGTGTGTTCATCCCACCAGCTCCTGTTTGCACATCGTCAGACGCTTCTTGTCTAGCTGCGTCAGGTTGCTGCTCTTCAGCTCAGTCTTCAACTTGGCCTCAGCGGCTGCAATAAAATTCCTGCAGAAAACAATAAACAGTTTTATTGAGGATTACTCCAACTGCAGGAGGTCAGCTTATTGGATGCTTTTAAATTTTCATTTGTGTTCTTTGTTTTTCCTAATTTTCTTTTACTTTTTCTTTTTATTAACGGACTCAACAGAAAACATTAGTAAGAAACAGGAGAATGAATCAGAGAAAAAGACAAACAACTGCATTAAAGGAGCAATGTGTAAGAATGAAGTAAGAATGGCAGAAGATTCTAGATGACAAGCGAAGATGAGTTGTACACAGTAAATAGGTAAATATTAGGGGTGGGACTTTTACGCGTTAATTATGATTAATCAATCAGAAAAATTGAGAGTTAAAACAAATTCACGCATTTAATCACAGCTTGCATTTCAAGCAAGGTGGAACCTTTGTCATTGCATGATTTCCTTGGAGACTGAATATCACGCATGTTCCACAAAAATAAACAATCAATGTTGATTAAGAGTCTGCTTCTAGACCTGCAGAAGGAGAAAAAAAGAAAAAACACACAACAATACAACAGGAGCAAGCAATCACTGCGTCAACCTGGAAATATTAGATCAACATTGTTTTACTGAACAATCAAACGATAATAAATCACAGTGCATTTAGTGCCAACCACAGCCTCAAGACATGTGTTGAACGTGCCCAAGTCCATACTTATGAGAGCACCATGTGAGCACATGTGTGCGTACCCGTGCTTGTATATGTAAGGTTTCTCCATGGGAGCATCTAATAGAAAGTGTGAGGGGCCACAGAGCTGCCCCCCAAAGATGTGTAGGAGACGGAGGGATCTCCAAGTCTCAGAGCTCCAGGAGCTGTGACCCAGGGAGACTGCAACCAGAAAAGTCCCTGCCCCCCTCAAGAGGCGCAGAAGATGGGCCAACATTAACAACCAAACTTTTTTCCATCTTGTTTCCATTTGTGTATCTGTTTCAGAGGGTAAGGGGGTGATGTGTAATTAGCCATGTGACAATGATGGTAATCATTTCAGAAGCATAAATGTGTGCGGTGTGTATGTAAATAAAAACATAAATACACACTATATATATATGCAAATATTGTTATTGGCCATAACAGCAATATTAGAATTAGATATTGGTATCGGCCCAACAATTTTACATTGGTGCATCCATAATTTTAACCAACATCATGAGCTTTTATGCTTTTCAAGCATGAATTACTTTTTATCATTCATTTTCAATCTTTTCAGCTTTACTGCATTTAACTGATATCAAAGTTTAATAAGTTCACAATTTTATTAGCAATTAGCTGAATAGTAATCATTTTCAGAAACCTTTTTCTCCAATTTTTTAGCTTGATTAATTTTCCCATTCATGAGTTTGAACACACTTTAACCATGAACATACATCACACAACTCACTCCCCATGGTGAGTGATGAAGCTACTAGATCCTGTTTACAGGATTGGCCATGCGGTGTGTTAGAAGACAGTGTTCAATATAAACTGATGAGCTCAAGATGGATGGATGAAACAGTCTAGTGTTTACCATGTGTGCTGTCCATGGTGCTGAAACACTAAATGTCTGAATAAACTAAAACTACTAGTAAAAACTTAAAACACAAAATTGAATACACAAAACAGCAAAGATTACCTGGCATCCAAGCAAAAATCTCTGAGAACAGTTCTGAGTGTTGGCCCGGCTGCCGGCTCCATCTTCCTATGAAGCTCAGCTGCACCAGACACCCCCTCCTCCTGCAGAGCGTAAAAATATTACAGGTGATAAAGTATTCATAAATGTGAATGTAATACCTGCTTACATTTACAACTGATGTATAGTTAGCAAATGTCCATTGCCTTTTAGGCTTTTCAACACATTATTATTGCTGTCTCAGATAAAATTAAAATGGTAAATTCCTTCAATAATCAAGTCTGGTCATGCCTTTGCAACAGCTTTACCCATCTCTGGGGTCTCTGACCTAGACACATCTATATGCAATGATTCCCTCTCAGCAACTAACTCCTGTTTCTCCATTCATCTCTCATGAGGCGACGGTAGCACCGGAGTTAACTGCTCGCCCCAAAATCCAAAGGTTGTAGGTCTGAGACCCGCTCAGTCTGTTGCTGTTGTTGTGTCCTTGGGCAAGACACTTAACCCGCCTGCTGGTGGTGGTCGCAGGGACCAGTGGCGCCTGTGTATGGCAGACTCGCCTCTGTCAGTGTACCCCAGGGCAGCTGTGACAACAATGTAGCTCATCACCACCAGGGTGAGAATGTGTGTGTAAATGGGTGAATGACTGATTGTGCTGTAAAGTGCCTTGGGGGATTCCTGGATTCTAGAAGGTGCTACATCAAATACAAGCCATTTACCTTTTTACCATTGAACTGTTTGAGGTATATGAGGTACTTGACGAGTTACTCAGGTTAGGATCCTCATAAATCAGCCGGACTGGATACTCTTGACCCTTTCTTTCTGAAAATAGCAGCATGTGTTATTGCTGCACCTATTATCCATCTATTTAATCTGTCCATACAAACTGGTGCGTTTCTGTAGGACTGGAAATTTGCATCTGTTACTCTACTTTTTAAAGGGGGAGATCATTCAGACCTAAGCTGTTATAGGCCTATCTCTATCTTGCCTTGCCTCTCTAAAGCCATTGAAAAGTTAGTCAACAATCAGCTAACTCACTATCTGGAATCCAGCAGTATTCTTACCCCCATGAGGTCCGGCTTCAGAACTGGCCAAGGATGTCTCTGCAACACTTAAAGTGCTAAATTACATCATAAGTGCCATTGACAACAAGGAATGTTGTGTAGGTGTGTTTGTGGACTTGGCTAAAGCCTTTGACTCTGTAAACCATAACATCTTACTTAGCAGGCTCAAACATATAGGACTTTCTCTAGCATCTGTGGCATGGTTTAGAAGTTATAACTTAGGCCATACGCAATTAGTGAGAACAGAGGGTTACCGATCTGCTCCTCTACCTCTATCTATGGGCATTCCTCAAGGGTCGATACTGGCCCAACCTTATTCAAAATCTATATTAATAACATTTTTCATGCCGTTGACAGTTCTCATATACATTTATATGTGGACGACACCATTTTATATGCATGCAGTTCTTCTTTGAATGCAGCTTTGTCCTCCTTGTGGCATAACTTTAATTGTCTTCAACACGCTTTCTCAAACCTTCATCTTCATTTAAACACAAAGTTCATAATCTTCAACTATAACTTACCACAATCAACTAGTCACCCTAGTATTGTTTCCCTGGATGGTACAGAACTACAACTTGTCAGTTATTATAAATATTTGGGTATCTGGCTTGACAGCACACGTTCATTTGACATTCACATTAATTCATTACGGCCAGATCGTCGTTGTAAATGAGAATGAGCTCTCAGTTGACTCTTCTGGTTGGTTAAAGGTTAAATAAATTAAATAAGCAAATTGAGCTGCATACAGGATGAGTGTCGAGTTGATCACATTTAAACTTCTGACTCACCTTCTCCCTTCCAGGATTTATTTTCATTTACTTTATTTGTAAAGCCATTTACTGCCACCAGGCAAGGCTACTCAAAGCACATTGAGGTGCCTTTGTGTAGAAAATGTGCTACATAAATAAAGCTGTCTTGTCTTGTTAAAGCACTGAATACCAACTATGCACAGAAATCATAACTGAACATGAAGTAATAAGATAGTGTCTTATGAATAAAACTTATGCAATGACTGAAATCAGATAAAAAGACAAGTAGGCCGAAAATCTGGTCCCTAGACTCAATCTGTCAGTGCCTAGAGCAAGTTAATAACCAGTGTTGGGAGTACTGTGGTACAAAAGTAATTAATTACTGTAATCCATTGCTTTTTGCTGTAATGTGGTAATGTAAGGCATTATAGGGAAAGAAAATGGTAATATTTACTCAGTTCAATTGTCAGTAATGCGGTAATTACAATGCATTTTAAACCCAGAATCAAGATGTGGGTTTCCTAAAAATTCTAGTTGCGGGAATCCTGAACAAAGATCCAGTATCTACATATATGACGTCATTTATGGACTCAGCTTTGCGGGTATTCTATGAGCAGAGAGGACGCAGCGGTAATGGCTCGAATGCTCCAGCTGCCTCCTGCGTGCGGCCGCTGTTATATTCACAAAATCGCTCCACCAAAACAAATTAATTTGCGATCGTTTATATCAGCCCATATTCTCTGGTACTTCATGTACTTTTCAGCTGAGTTCATAATCTGTGCCCCGGTGATTTCAACTCATTGCTGCTGGAGTGCAACGCATATTAAGCTTTTTTTTTCTTTTTTCTTTTTTTTTTGCGTTCGGCAGATCCCTTTGGCTGATTAGTTAGAAAGTAGGAAATCTTGGAAACAGTTTTTCTGGAAGATGGAGAAAACATGCAGCATGCAGGAAGGTTAGAGAGAGAAAGGTGGAAATTATTCAAATAAAATCAAGAAAACAAAACAAAGTGCTTGAAAAGAAAAAAAGTAGGTAGATTTATCCCCAATACACATTTTTACCAGTGAAAAGCAATAATATATAAGCATTTAATATTTATACATGTGATAGAATCAGATCACCCCAGAAGTCAGTCCCACATCCAGGGCCGTATCAAGGCATTTGGGGACCAATGCAAATTTAGGCTTGGGGCCCCCACCACCTCACTCCCTGCTCAGTTAATATAAGATGGCAGCGTGCTGAGAGTACAGATTGTTGTTGCTTTTATTCAATAAACAATCATTTTAAAGCACTGTTATTTTATCTGACTGTTTTAACAGCAATCCTAGCTCAGACACCACATCACTTTCCACATGTATGTCATGAGCTCACTGAGTGTCAGTTTACCAGATTCATATTGAAGTTGTATTGGTGAAAGTAACTTAAAGTAATGCAAAAGTAGTGTAATGTCTTACGTTTTTAAATCAGTAACATTGTAATGTAATGAATTACTTTAAAATGAGAGTAACAAGTAATAAATAATGCATTACAGTTTTGAAGTAACTTGCCCAACACTGTTAATAACTGGATACAATCAAGAATCAAGTTACCGTTAGTTAAACAAAGGCAAGACTGAAGTTATTGTCTTTGGAAATAGGAAGGATAGGGCGGAAGCTATTTTTCAACTTTGCTCCAAAGGAATAAAGAAAAAGGTTAGAAATCTCAGTGTTACAATTGATTCAGACTTGAACTTCATTGGTCACATTAAAGCTATAACTAAATCAGCGTTTTATCATCTCCATCACTTAGCAAGACTCAGGGGTCTCATGTCAAGATAAGACAAGACCTAGAGAAACTGAGTCATGTGTTGATCTCCAGCGGGCTGAACTATTGCAATGGTCTTCTAACTGGTCTTCCCAAAACATCTGTAAAACAAATGTAGCTTTTTCAGAATGCTGCTGCTAGAGTCTTAACGAGAACCAAAAGAACCGAGCACATCACTCCTGTTCTTGAATATCTACACTGGTTACCAGTAAACTACAGAATCAACTTCAAAGTACATCTACTAGTCTAAAAATCTCAATGACATTGGGCCTAAATACATGTCAGATCTCCTACCTGTATATACACCCAGCAAGGCTCGGGAAACAATCAGCTGGTAGAACCTCGGGTCAGAACCAAACAGGGTGAAGCTGCTTTTAGCTAGTATGCTGCACACAGATGGAATCAGCTTCCTCATGAACTCAAATGTGCCCCAAATCTAGAAACTTTTAAATCAAAATTAAAAACCTTCATGTATTCATCAGCCTTCGAATAAATGTTTGTTATGCTGCACTTTATGTACTGTAACTGCTACCCTTTGACTATGTCTTTTATCTGATTTTTGAATCTGAAATAACATCTACATTTCTTTGTTTGATTTATTGTGTCTGCTATTTTTGCTTCTGTAAAGCACTTTGAATTGCCTTTGTGTTTCAAGTGTGCTATAAAAATAAAGCTGCCTTGCCTAAAAACACCTAAAGCACGTGTAAAACAAACAAACATGACATATTGTAACAGAAAGACAAATAAGACAGATGTACCTGTTGCATCTAAATAGCAGGCCAAAACCCTTCTCAGCTAAGAACTCAGAGAACTGCCAATGGTAAATAAACTGCTGGACCATTAGAAGCTCAAATAGATCTGTAATACAGGGAGTCTAAGTCATGCCCATCTACTTCTGAACCATGGGACCTCAGAAGAACAAAAAAAATGAATGCAAGTAAATGGGGCTAAAAACGCTATTTACTAATTCTGCTTGTTCTGTTCCACGGATTTCACATCTGATGTCTGTGAATTTTAAAGAAGTTTTTTGTTGCAACAAATGTGCTTATTTCCAAATGGGGAGAAACGCTATTTTAGGTTTTGTGTGAAAATGAGTCCAGGACTACAAATGTGCTTCATGAAAGTGACGTCATTGAACCAGACACGAAGAAAACTGAGGGAAAAGGGCTGTAAGTTCAGCAAACTTCAAATCCTTCCCACAAGAGAAAAAACCACCATACATCTGGTCATTTGGTAAGTAGCAGCTATGTTAGGGGAGAGGCGATTATGTGGTGACATTACGAATTCACAGTTTAGGCACCTAAACCAAGAATGCTCTTTCTCCCTGTGACTTGTGTTTAGACCTTTGAACAATCAACTAGTCTTTGTCGTTTGAGCGGGGGGAACGTTCAGGAGCATATCAGTTTTATCAACCCATTCTCACACCCAAGGCGTCAAAATATGACACGTGTGACCAAGCCTCAATATATGACGATTTGGGACACCCCAGCGCGTCAGGAGATGACAATCAGGGACACGCTGGATCACGTGGCTCCGCTGGCATCACTGTTTGACGCGCGCGGTCACATGGACATTATTCAACTATTTAACCTTCCCCTCAACCCAATCCTAACCTTAAGGTACATAAACTGTGACCTTAAGGTTAGGATTGGGGTGAGGGGAAGGTTAAGTAGTTCACAAATAGTTCTAATGTCCGTCTCACCACCGGCGTCGGATACCGATGCTCTGGGACGCTGCGTCAGCTGGTTGTCCCTGATCGTCGTCTCCTGACGTGCTGGGGCGTCCCAAATCGTCATATATTGGGGCTTGGTCACACGTGTCATATTTTGACACCTTGGGTGTGTTGGTTTTATAGCTCCATGATGTGAGGCGGGGCAGTTTCCGCAAGAGCATGAAAGACGAGGGCCAGCACCCTAACTGCAACCCACTGTTTTACAGGATACCATTGCAGGTCATTCAGGACCAAAGGTCCCACTTCAGCCTATTTTATACAACTGTGTCTGCGTTGGTGCGGAGACACACAACACCATCATCCGTCCTTAAGAGGGTTCTCCAGCAGGCTCACAAGGACGGACAGAGTCGAGCCCACTTTTCTAAACATCCATCCAACGAGACGGAGAATGCAAGCTTGAGATTGGTCAGGACTCCGCTGTCGTCAACAGCGCCGCTATATCCCCCTCAAAAACATAAAGAAAGCCGAAGACTTTTAGCGGCAGACATGGAAAAGCTTGAAGAATACCTCTCGGAAAAACTATAAAAATATGAATGTTTTATTCACCCGTGACTGGAGGAGTGAAAATATTTGCAGCAAGCATTTTATTCATGGACTGAAATTATGGGAAACGTGGGTTTAGAGGTGACAAAGGCATAAAGCGGTGGATGAGAATGACAGACGAATTTATCCACATTAAACAGTCTCTGAAATACAAAATTACAATATGAACACTATAGTAAATGCACTATCTTGGACCGGATACATGACAGGATACCCCAAAACAGCGCTACCCCCTCTGTTGTCCTGGCATGGAGTTGCTTTGCAACACTTCCCAGGAGACGGAGAAGTCTGGTGTGTCTCCCTCATGGAGCTGACGGAGAAGTATAAATTAGGCTTTCCTCAGCCCAAGAATGAATGTGGCTGTGGTGTTTTGCACCATCTGCAGCTTATTATTACAGACTGCTTGACCAGCATAGAGCGAATTACAATAATCGAGTCGAGAGATAACAAAAGAGCACATTGCAATCTCCAAGTCTCTCTTTGAGAGCATCGACTTAATTCTTGACAGCTGACGAAGTTGAAAAAAGCTAACTATTTTAACTGCATTTATCTGTGCCTCAAATGACAAGGCTGAGTCCAATTTCACCCCTAGGTCAGCATTTCTATGTGTGACACCGAGGAAACCCATAGGGAGACAGAAACACCCTGAATACATGTCTCCAGGTAAAGTTAGAATGTGTCAATGTCGTCTGATAATAATGTTAAACCAGATGTTACCACAGCTTCCGCATGATCAAATGCTTCGTCTCTTTTATCCCACCAGACCACCCTAGTTGTGGTTCTGCCTGAGTCTTCTTTTTAATAATAAGAAGTTTTGATTTCCACTGTCGACCCTGTGTTGCTTTAATGTGTGAGTGCATGTGTGTGGGCGTGTGGGTGTGCTCACAAAGAGTACAGCTATATTCTCCAGCATGTTAGAGTTGTACAGACGGTAGGTTCTGTCCTCCCAGTAACTCAACACGTTAAAACATGGCTTCTTCTTCTCCAGGGGTAGATGCATGTAATGTCTAGATATATTGACAGACACAAACACACACATACATTTACACACCTTAATTACAAAACACTAGAGCAAAAGAGCAAAACCCTAAATTGGTGAAATCATTTATCACCAGAACTAAAACAGGATTGACGAGGGTATAAAAACAGATCATCAATAGTGACTCAACCTGTTCCCTTCAACAATGTGAGGTCTCTCTGGAGGAGTGACAGATTTAGCTATCACACTTGGGTCTGAAGGCTCTCTGGGTGAGAGGAGGGGTGTGCTGATGGAGAAGGAGCCTGAGGGGGAGGTGCCAAACACATCGGTGGTGTCTGGAATGTCCAGGCCTATTTTCCTCCGGGTAACAGCAGGACTAATAGCATAAGGTTGGGTTGAAGACTCCAGAACATTACCATAGTTACCTAAAGATAGAGGGTTAGTTGTCAATGATAGGAACACAGGAGGAGGCACAATACATTTGTTTTTATTAAGGTTAATGTGATTTCTATGTTGTGAATGGCAACTGTGTTAACAGCCAAGTAAAGAAGCCAATGTGACGAACCCAGGGAGAACTCGAAGCTGATGGGCTTGTCTCCTAGCTTACGGTCAATCATCGTGGCCTCAAACACAGCACCAAACAGCAGGAAGCTTTCACAGTCATCTTCAGTCAGCTGCACACAAACAGCACCATTCACCGCTTAGCCTTACTCTAAACATCACTAAGTCCAAGGTACATGAGAATACCATAAAATGTCATTGTGAGTTCAAACTCTCTTGGAAAATTGGAAGTCTTCAGTTCCATCATTTCAAACCACCCCATCGACTTTCTATGTTTCTTCTTACCACAGGAGGGGCTTCCACAGGCAAAACTTCTGCAGCTCCAGATTTGCCTTTGTCATCATCCGCTCCTCCTCCTACACTTCCTCCTCCACCAGCAGGAGTCTTCCCATCCTTCCCAGCCACCTTGCCTGCTTTAGCGTCTTTTGCAGGTTTCATCATTTGGCTGAGCTTTGATTCTGAGCCTGTCCCCCCTGACAGGATCTCCACTGTCAGCTCCAAGTAGACTCGACCCCTGACAAAGCACAGGTTGGGTTGGCATCAAAGCAATGAGCTTTTCGTAAAACTTAACTGTCAAGGTTTATCAGGAACCTGTAGGAAACGCCCTCGCCAATGCCTTCGTTAAGTTCTCCTGTGTCGTCACCCAAAGTGTAGTTTCTTGCAGAGCCATACAGGTTGACCCAAGCAGGGCCAAATGTTGGTAAAAACCCTGCAGACAAAGAAAAACAATGTCACACCGATCCACCCATCCATCTACTATATGTCAGTGTGACACTTCTCTAGCAGCAACTTGTGACATTCCTCAGTACTTTTTAGCTCCCTAACGTTGCTCAGTTAGTTTTTTCTTGTTTCTCTTTTATTTCTCATCTTAGTACTTTTACTTGTTTTATGGTTAGTTAACTTTTAATGTAATTTATACTTTGCTTTTATGTGTGTTATATGTTTTTAGCTTTATATTTTACTCCTATGCTGTCTTTGATGTTGTGTGTGAGTCTTTCGCTCTCCTGTACAGCACTTTGGTTCTATCTATCTATCTATCCATCTATCGATCTATCCATCTATCGATCTATCTATCTATCTATCTATCTATCTATCTATCTATCTATCTATCTATCTATCTATCTATCTATCTATCTATCTATCTATCTATCTATCTATCTATCTATCCATCTATCTATCTATCTATCTATCTATCTATCTATATATATCTCTCTATCTATCTATCTATCTATCTATCTATCTATCTATCTATCTATCTATCTATCTATCTATCTATCTATCTATCTATCTATCTTTCGATCTATCTATCTATCTATCTATCTATCTATCTATCTATCTATCTATCTATCTATCTATCTATCTATCTATCTATCATCTATCTATCTATCTATCTATCTATCTATCTATCTATCTATCTATCTATCTATCTATCTATCTATCTATCTATCTATCTATCTATCTATCTATCTATCATCTATCTATCTATCTATCTATCTATCTATCTATCTATCTATCTATCTATCTATCTATCTATCCATCCATCCATCCACCCACCCATCCTCTTAGTGAGTGTCTTCCTATTAAGAGGTCTTTGATTAACCTTCAGAGGAAGGTGACCAGAAGGTCTTCTAAACTGATTTCTAAACTACATCATCTGAGAAAAGGGGAAGGTTCTATCAGCTGCTTGTGTCTGTGATCTTGTTATTTTAGTTATTATTTATTGACCCTATAGCTGAATACCCTAGGAGCCAAGGTTCAACCTCCAGGTTCTCCTCACCTTTGTCACCATCTTGTTCATTGGAAACACGTTTCAGATCAAAGTAATGGGTTCCTATGGCAACATCATTCATGCTTCCTTCATCCCAGACCTACAAAGAGATGTATCTAGAATTATGGAAAATTTTGTTAATTTGAATTTTTTTTTTTATTATTATTATTTTTTTTTTTGCTTTTTTATAACAGTTCACACCTGAATCTTTAATCTCTGACACAAAGGCGGAAACATCTCAGTGAAGACAATCTGCTCATTCCACACTGGGTCTGCTGTGGACTTCTTAGTGGACGTGCGGCCCTGATGAACACACAAAAACATTTTAAGGCTGCATTTATTTTTGAGAACACGTTCACAGTTGTGTTACATTTATATTGTAGATTTTCACAACCATTCACCTGTCCATAAAATAGTCCAGCAAACATCTGCTCATTCAGAAGATTGCCCAGCCTGCACATTATTTAAGTATCCACAAATAACCTTCTGTACATCTCTACAAACCTTTTCAGTGGTTTAGTTGTATGAGTGTGATGATGCTGACTAATGGGACTTTAACACAAGCCTGTAGGAGTTCTGCCATGTTGTGGAGTTTCTAATGCTGCCAACTGTTGAACTTTGCAATACATGAGAGCAGATGCCCGCACAACTAGCTAGTTAACTGGAGAAGCTGTTTTTTAAAGGCATCACACCAGAAACCCATGTTTTGTGAGTTTCAATGACAGGTTAATCAATCAGAATGACTGGTTGTAGCAAGAAAGCAGACCAGGAAGCAGAATCATAGTTTAACACACCCCTCTGCAGCTTCTGTACTGTTACCCACCCACTACCCCATAGAGACCACGGTCAAAATCACACAGATTAAATATCAGGCTTAATAAAGCAAATCATGGAAATCTCATCAAAATTAGAACAAATTCAACTGAGCAGAAAATTAGAAAAAATTAATGTGGGTTGTTGAACATTAGATCCATTTTTTCTAAGACTTTGTTAGTTAATGAGTTGATTTGTGATAATCAGATCTCTTTGCTCTCTCTCACAGAATCCTGGCTGCAGCAAGAGGACTATGTTAGCTTAAACGAGTCGACTCCTTCAAATTATTTAAATCATCATATTGCTCGAAGTACAGGGCGAGGAGGAGGAGTAGCAACCATTTTTCATTCAGACTTATTAATCAGTCCCTTACCAATTAATAGCTACAGTTCGTTCGAACATCTTATTCTTAGTTTTCCTAATCCAGATTGCAAAACTGTAAAGCCACTCTTGTTTGTAGTTTTATATCGTCCACCAGGCCCTTACTCAGAGTTTTTGGATCAGATCTCTGATTTTTTATCTGATTTGGTGCTAAATACTGATAAGGTCATTGTAGTGGGGGATTTTAACATTCATGTGGACATGAAAATGATTGCCTTAATGTAGCCTTTAGTAATATCTTAGACTCAATTGGTTTCACTCAAAGAATACATAGCTCCACCCACTCCTGCCATCATACATTAGACCTTGTGCTGACTTATGGCATAGAGTGTGAGGAAATAACAATCTTTCCACATAATCCAGTCCTCTCGGACCACTTTCTGATAACCTTTGAGTTTTTTATACCTGAGTTCTCGAGACATGAAAGTAAATTTCACTATAGTCGGTCTCTATCTGACAACGCTGTTGCGTCTTTTAAATCAACTGTTCCATCTTAACTGTCCTCAGCATCTCAGAGGCATGTAGCAGAGGGCAATATTTTCATTTCTAGCCCCTCACAAATTGATGCCTTAGTTCATCATGTTACTTCCTCTTTACGAGTGGCATTAGATGATGTTGCCCCTTTAAAAAAGAAGGTAATTAGGGACAGGAAGTTGGCTCCCTGGTTTAATTCTCATTTATGAGCCTTAAAACAAAACTCTAGAAAATTGGAGAGAACATGGCACTCTACGCACCATGAGGAGGCCTACCTATCCTGGAAAAATAGTCTTGTGCTTTATAAAAATAAGCTTCGACAAACTAGAACTGCTTATTTCTCAGCACTAATTGAGGAGAATAAGCATAATCCTAAATTTCTTTTCAGTACAGTTGCTAAACTTACACAGAATCATAGCTCTGAACCATCTATTCCCTTAGCCCTCAGCAGTAACGACTTTATGGGATTTTTCACAAGTAAAATTAATTCTATTAGAAACAAAATCTTTAGCATCCTCCCTAATGCAATTTCTTCTTCCTCAGTAAGTGAGGCAGCATCAGAGGTAACTGTAGAACCTCATCTGTGTTTGAACCGTTTTGATCCAGTTGAGCTTTCAGTTATCAAAAATATTAGCTTCATCTAAACCTTCCACTTGCATTTTAGATCCAATCCCAACCAAATTATTTAAAGATGCATTTCCTTTGGTTACTGCCCCCATTCTAGATATAATCAATCTATCCTTAGTAAATGGATATGTACCACAGGATTTTAAGGTTGCTGTAATGAAACCTTCACTTAAGAAGCCTTCTCTGGATCCAGATGACCCAATGAATTATAGACCAATATCTAACCTTCCATTTTTATCCAAAGTCCTGGAGAAAATAGTGGCCATCCAAGTATGTGAGCATTTAAACACTAATGATCTGTTTGAGGAATTTCAGTCTGGTTTTAGAGAGTATCACAGCACTGAAACTGCGTTAGTGAGAGTTACAAATGATATTCCTATGGCTTCAGATAAGAATCTTGTGTCTGTTCTAGTCTTGTTAGATCTCAGTGCTGTCTTTGACACAGTTGATCACAATGTTCTTGTAGAAAGGCTTGAACATGTTGTAGGGATCAAAGGAACAGCACTAGGCTGGTTTAAATCCTACCTGTCTGATAGATTTCATTTTGTAAATGTACATGACAAATTTTCTTCATACTCCAGGATTACTTGTGGAGTACCACAGGGTTCAGTGCTTGGACCAATTCTTTTTACTATATATATCCTCCCAATTGGTAAAATCATTAGACAGCATGGGATAAACTTTCACTGTTATGCTGACGATACTCAGTTATATTTATCCATTAACCCTGATGAACCTAATCGGTTGGGTAGATTACGGGCTTGTCTTGAGGACATAAAAAATTGGATGACTCTTAACTTCTTGCTTTTAAATCAAGACAAGATGGAAGTTCTCATCTTTGGACCAGAAATCCAGAAAAGGAAATTGCTTAGCCAATCACCTGACCTGAATGGCATTACATTATTTCCAAGAACAAAGTAAGGAACCTTGGTGTTATCTTTGACCAGGACATGTCATTCAAATCCCAGGTTAAACAGGTTTGTAGGATTTCCTTTTTCCACCTTTGGAATATTGCTAAGATTAGAAGCATACTTTCCAGGAGTGATGCTGAAAAACTAGTTCGTGCATTTATTACATCAAGACGGGATTACTGTAATTCATTACTCTCAGGAAGTCCACAGAATGTAGTTAAAAGTCTTCAGCTTGTCCAAAATGCTGCAGCTAGAGTTCTGATGAGAATTAAAAAGAGAGATCATATCTCTCCTGTCTTAGCTTCCCTACATTGGCTACCTGTTAAATTTAGAATAGATTTTAAGATCCTTCTTCTCACATATAAAGCTCTTAATAATCAAGCTCCATCATACATCAGTGATCTGATTGTTCCATACGTTCCTAACCGAGCACTTCGCTCTCAGACTGCAGGTTTACTGGTGGTTCCCAGAATATCTAAAATTAGGATGGGAGGCAGATCTTTTAGTTATCAGGCTCCTCTCCTGTGGAACCAGCTCCCAGCTTTAGTCTGTGAGGCAGACACCTTGACTACTTTTAAGACTAGGCTTAAAACATTTTTATTTGATAGGGCCTATGGTTAAAATCTGATGTTAGCCTAAACCTGGACAAGTGGGAGAGTAGAGGGAGGTGGAGTGTACAGTCGGTAAAGATAGCTCTCCCTTGCCCTGCCTCCAACATGCCTCCATCTAAAAAGGCTAGGTTTTCCAGAGTTATCTCTGTAGTTATGCTGCTGTAGGCTTAGGGTCTTAGACTGCTGGAGGATACAATGACCACTTTTCACACTCTACTACTTTCTTCTAGAATCTGCTCTTTAACTGTATTATTTTCTGCAATTTCAGCTGTTAGCTTTATTTTTTTTTCAGTGTTTTTCTCCCCAGAAGAAGCTACAATGATGTTCTGCTGAGCTGTGATGGCCTCATGGAGGGGGCCATCGTCTAGCACACTGCTGCTAACCACTTAAACATTCTCCCTCTCCTGATAACTTTTTGCCTTCCTTGACATTGGATGTGCTACTGCTAGTTTACCCGTTTAATTATAGATTCACTAGGATAAATACAATAAAGTTTATCTCTCTCCAAATAGAACATTTACTAAGAAATCACAATGTGACCATAGACACATTGCTTGGTGTGTGTGTGTGTGTGTGTGTGTGTGTGTGTGTGTGTGTGTGTGTGTGTGTGTGCGCGCGTGTGCGCGTGCGCGTGCGTGCGTGCGTGCGTGCGTGTGTGTGTGTGTGTGTGTGTGTGTGTGTGTGTGTGTGTGTGTGTGTGTGTGTCTGCCCTGTCTTCTCGATCCCTAGTGAGTCATGGTGGATGGCTGCTTATACTGAGCCAGGATCCTCTGGCAAATGCTCATTATAGTTTATTATTAGTTTATATTATTAAGTATCAATTTTATATCAACTGATGATCAATACTATTTTTAATTGTGAGTTACATGATAGTAATCTGTCCAATATTGTGTTGTTGACACATGAGTTTAAGCTAACATCATTCTCTCACTGACACCTGCCCTACTCTCCACTTATTCTCCTGGCACCACAGCTCAAACTGGGCCTTTGTGAAATCAACAGTGAAGTCTGGAAAATAATCCACAGCAGCAACTAGCAATGGAAATGACAACAGGCGATGAAATGACAATCACCAAATGTGGCTGGAGTCTCAGAGAAACTAAGAACACTGTTCTCAAAACACATCATCCCGGTAAACTTAAAACCCAAAAACACCCTCAGACAGAAATTGGTCCATCCAAGTGACAAAACACCCAAACAGAAGCTGAGTGGAATGCAGTCCAATGTAGTGAAGACTGTCCAGATCTTTACATTGAGGAACCTAAACAACAATTACACTATCGCATGGCACAACACAGGACAGCCTCCTCTTCAGATCAAGACTCTGCAGTCCACCTACACCTGAAGGTCAAGGGACACACTTTAGAAAATGACTAAGTACACATTCTGGACAGGAGACAGATGGTTTGAGAGAGGAGTAAAATAAGCTATCTAGTCAAAGAGGAAAAACCTACATAAAATAAGGGAGGAGGACTTAGGTTTCACCTTTCCACCACCTATAATGCAGATTTAAATCTTATTCCAAAACAGTTTCAGTCTAGGTCACACCTTCCTGCCGCTAATCAAAAGGTCTCCTACACAATAGAGGCTAATGACTCATCAGGAGGTAGGGAGGAGAGGAATCCATAGGTAGTTTCTGCTCATTAAGCAACAATAGACAGCTACAGCTTTTAAACGTGACTCTCCCATGATCCAGTAAAAACTGACAAAGTTTCTCGGATGAGAATCAAAACGTCTTTAAGAAACCAAAGAAGTGCAGTAGCCTTCATTTGAACACAGCTCCTTCTCTCTCCTTTGGCCATCGTTTCTCCTTCTGGCTTGTCTCTGCTCTCTAGGGCATGCAGCAGGATCATAACTGTATGGTTGTGGTCCACCATAAGTAAAATTATAAACATTTAAGTTTCTTCAGTGTCAGAAACAGCATCAGAATCCATTTGTTTCTCTGGATAATGCTAAAATGTCTCCCTTTGCTTACATCGCTTCCAGTTTAGCAGAAAAACATAAGAATGATTGCAAAAGCCTAACTAATTTGTGTATGTGTATATTTTTATTTAGAATGTGTTCCTATTATGTTTCTCCAAACACTGGTTTAAGGGAGGCCCCAACCAGCAACTTGCTCTAGCATCAGTTGATTTTAATATGCAAACAAAGTTAACATAGAGCTAGCTTTCTTTTGGTTTTATCGGGTCTCTAGAAATATGAAGACAAACTAATTTACATTCAACTATTTAGTCTTTGTTCAAAACTGTTTGACATTTACTGTAAGTAACGTTCATTTTTAAGTTAAAAGTGAAGATAACAATTCAAAAACTCTTAACAATAAATAATCTGTAGCCCACCATTTGTTTAAAGAAGCTGACCACAACATAAGGGTCTATTAGCGCCGTGTTGTCTCCGATGAAGGCCTTGGTGACGTTGGCCATGATGCTGGAGTTGTTTCGCGGAAGGCCTTCAGCTCGGTACACCTTCACACAGAAACGAGCCCATGGGCGCTCAGAAGGAAACCCCTCTGGAATCAGCAGGTTCCTCATGACAAAGAACACAACAGATCATCTGAGACTCCAAAACAATAAGGATAACACAACTCAAGTTCACATTTAAAGGGGTCCAACCTATGACCAAAGGCATGAATCTGTTCTAACGTAAAACATTTCCCATTGTCACTCTCTGGAACACAGACAGACAGGTGCCATACTTGTCTATCTGCTCCTCAGCATCACTGGCTTTCTGTCCGGGCTGCATGGCCTCTCCCTTCGCTGAAACACTGATGTCACATTTAACATAACCTTTGACTCCAGTGCTAATGTCTCCAGGATCGGTTAACATTGCCCATTTATTGATGAACTGGTGACCTAAAGAATCAGGACAGCAGTCTTTAGTTGATCTCTGACAGCAGAGGAGGAGCTCAGGTGTCCAGGACTGATCAGAGGACAGGTGAGAGCGAGACGCACCTGGCTGTTTGTAGACGGTCCACACATCCAGCTTGAAAGACCCCACACTGAAAGTCCTCAGCATCTTTGAATGAATTACCTGAGGAGAAAGTGAGCCACAAAACTACCAAACAATCTGTGAGAAACCACTTTAGGAGGTAAGGAAAAAGGTTCAACCCAAAAGATAAGCTGTACAGGAGCACCCTCTGGTGTTTACTCACCGTCAGCTTAATGACTTTATCATAGAAGATCTCTTTGTAGGCAAAGACGTCAAACACAAAGTACTGATGAGAAGAAAGGTCAGGATTGAAGGTTGGTGGAAAGTTTGATAATAACATGAAATAAATAAATTTTACTGCTGGTCCTAAAATATCCTCACCTCATTGTAAAAGGGGGCATTAGTTCCCTCTTTGACAGTCGTCTGTTTCTTTTCGTCCCCGATCTCGACGACCACGCTGGGGTCGATGTTTTCGCCAACAAGCTGTCGAGCTTCTGTGATGTTAACAGCTACCTGTGATGCAGATCAGTGCTGAGTATCATCAGGGTCTGGAATTGTGTTGTTCCTTAGATCAGGATCCAGTCTGTGCTTCTCTTACCTGGAAGCTCTGTGGTTTCCCTTCGCTGTCCTGGATGTTAGTTATCAGTTTGGCTCTGTTCAGACCACAAAAGCATTCCAACCTTTCTTTATTTTTCACTCAGGTAACATTTAAAGTTATTTTTCAACATCTTTCCAACGTGTAAAAAGTGACTAAATTAATAACTGAACAATTTTAAAACAACAAACAGCAGCAAATCTGAGCCAGATAAACAAACAACAAAACATGGGCCTGATTCAAAACAGAGGGGACAGTTGTTCCCCAGGTGAGCATCCATCCATTGTGCCCCTTGCTGGGGCGCAGCAGCTGGTCAAAAGTCAAAGTCGTTTTATTGTCACTTCTACCACATATGCAAACATACAGAGACATGAAATTTTCAGTACACACAATTCAGAGATCAGACATACATGGGCAAGACACATAACAAGAATTGGTGACTGTGGTCCTTCGCAACATGAGTCGCACTACCTTAATAGATGAAAAAGGGAATTACATGAGGACAGGTTGGGGGAGGGAAAAAAGGCATACCAGAGTTACTCCCGGCAGAGCATAGCTTTACTATGCAAAAAAAAACGCCTCAACATATAAGCACGAACATCACAGTTCGATGGGATCCTTTTTCCCCAGGGCCGAGCAGCTATGTAGCGCTCAGCCAACTGTATCTGCAGGAGGGAGGGAGAAGCGCAGAGCACATTGAGTTTCCTGCAGATTGATGACCTCGCTATGCAGAAGTCCACAATCTGAAAGCGGGGGGGAGGACGGGTTTCCACAGCATCTGTCTGCATTCCTTCCTTCGTGGGGGTTGTTGTTGGCAGTTCAAGGCTGCCTTGGCGTCAGATTAGGATAACAAGACTGTGTTTGGGTCAGGCAGAGATAATGGACTGGTGCACAGCTAACAACCTGACCCTGAACACCAACAAAACCAAAGAAATCAACGTTGACCCAAGAAGAAAAAGGTGGAGCATCAGTCACTCACAATAAATAGGGAGCAGGTGCAGAGGGTGTTACAGTTCAAGTTCCTAAGCACAAACATATCAGAGGACCTCATATGGGCACAACACCAAATGTCTGATAAAGAAGGTACAACAACGGCTATACTTCCTTAAAGCTCTCAGGAAGATCAACCTGCCACAAAAACTGCTGGTGTGGTTGTATCACTGCTCCATAGAGTGTCCTGACCAACAGCATCCTGGTGTGGTACAGCATCAGCTCTGCAGCTGACAGGAAGGCCCTGCAGAGAGTAATCAAAACTACAGAGAAAATAACAGACACACACCTGTCTGCCCTGGATGACATCTTCACCATTCGCTGCCTTCAAAAAACCACAAACATCCTAAAGGACTCAACCCACCCTGCTAACCGTCTCTTCAGACTTCTTCAGTCTGGTAAATGATACAGGACAATAAACACACACCACCAGGATGTTAAACAGCGTTTATGTAAGAGCCATCACAGAAATGAATGTTGCTGCTATGAGGTCACACTAACAGTCATTCTGCTGGACAATTAGTGAACTACAGCACCTTTACATTAAACTAGCTAATCCTGATACCTCAACATGTGACATTTAAATTATGTTTACTTTATGTTTCAGTTTACATTTTAGATTTGTTATATGACCATGTTTTCAGTCATACTTTTACATGTGTGCACCTTAAACTGGCTGTGTGTGGGAAAGTGTTAAAAAAAGTTGTCCTCTTAATCCTCTGATATTTGTCCTAACAGAAGTGCATACACACATGCACATACAGGCACGTGCACTCACATACCAAACAAACACAAACACACACACACACACACACACACAACTGTGCTTCACTGATGCAGCTCCCTTTTATCATCATAACACAAAAATAAAAAAATCTGTCACCCAGGAAAAACAGTAACGCCAAAGACAAACAGAGCCAGGACGTGCTTGAGTGATCAGTCCTCCTTCCATCTGCTGTGTGTTCTGTACCAACACATGACACCTGACTTTAGTGCCAGTTAGACCCACACAGGGTCAGTGCAAACAATGTGTGACCAAGCACCTTGGAGCTTGTGACCAAGTTCTAAGGTGACACAATCAACTGAAAATAGCATTTTTCCTCAAATTCCACAAACCAACAACCAAAGCCCCAAAAATAGAGTCACTTAGACCTCCCAAACTCGCTTTTGCTAATCTACCCCAAACCTGGAAGTTTATTTTCTATGTTTTACCAGAAATTTGTGTTTGTTTTAACAGTTAGTTATCTCTCGGACAAACTGGTCCTTTTTATTTCTGGTCACCTTGTAACCTTGGGTTTTGAGTCCAGATGGAACCATCTACCACAACCTTGTTCATGTCTGTCTCCCTCTACTTCATGGGACAAAGTTTCAATGTAAAAATATCATCAGTAAAAATTCAACAACTAAGGTTAGCTCCCAAATCAAACCAGTTGTCACCATCGATATATACTGTATACTGGACATTTCCATAGGCTCGAATTATTAGTTTTTGTTTCCACATGGGAGGTTCCCACCATGGCCATTTTGACTGTGTCACACATCTCGTCACGCCAAGACAATCCAAAAAGTGGAAAAGAGGTGGAGCTGAGGGTGGGGCTGTTACGGTTGGAACCATGGTTGGAACAAATGAACCAATGTCTCTACTAGCTAACTTAGCTAACCCAAGAAAATAAGAAGGGGCTCCAGTTGACCGGGGTAGTCCACCCGCTCGGCCGACTTGCTACGGTGCGAGGCTGTAGTCATGGTGGTCACCTGTGGAGATCTAATATGGACTGGGACAGTTAAATTATGAGCAGAGCTTCAGACCTCTGATCGTGACACGATGAGAGGATGGTTTGGACCCAAAATGCAGATACCCAGGATGACACGAGGCAGGAGTTGATATAAAGAAAATCCTTTTATTTTAGGATGAGTCCAAAATAAAAATAAATCCAAAAAGGCAGGGAGCCAAAAACCGAAGATCCAGGAACAGGAAAAAAAGCTCACTTAGAGCACAGACTGGGAATGAGACCGGAAACTTACACAGAGCACCAAAACAACACTGAACAAACAACAATGGACCGACAAGCCACTAAGACAAGACAGGGCTTAAATAAACTGGGGCATGATGGGAGGCAGATGAGCTGCAGGTGTGTGGGGAGAGGACCAGGTGAAAGCAACACTTAATAAGGGAGGGAACTCACATGACCTAAGAAAAAACCTAAAAACAAGAAAAGCAACCACATAACTAATATTCTAAAGGAAAGGAGAACTACAAAGACTGGTGGAACAAAACATATAAAAGAGACTAATAAAATGAAAAGCTGAAACTATAAACACTGCAGAGGGGTGACTGGAGAAGACTAAAGGAACACAGGACCTGAGAGATATATTTGGAAGGCTGAAGACCAGGGGACAAATGAGGAACACAAAGAGACACATAAATGAGACGCAGACAAAGGACACATGAGGGCACTATGAAACACAAAAGGAGAACCTGGAGTGGGAACTGGAGGGGCTGGGGAACAAAGGAACACAGAACATGACAGATCATAGCCGGGTGCTGTTTTTTTTTTTTTACATCAGCTCACGCTCCATGGTCGGAGATCAACAGGATATTAGCTACATGCTAACCCGAAGCTAACAAAGTTTTTTTTTTAGCAAGAAATACGTGGTAGAGTGACTCCAAAGTGAAGGCACCTCCAGCCTGCTTAGTGACAACTAATAACTTAGTAATAACTAATTAAGCTGACCGAGGACATAGGCCTTCGCTGGTCCACCACGGTCAAACATCCGTGATTCAGCCGTTGTGGACGATCCCGTCTCTGAGAGCGTCGACTCGGCTACCGGCACTGTATTGACACTGAGCCAAGAGCCATGTCGCAGTACACTGGGACCGTCGACAACGGCGGACTCACGGATCTTTGACCGCAGCAGAACAGTGAAGCCCAATAGCCTCCGCTATCTTTGGTCAGATATGTTGCTCTAGTTTTATTTACACAACAGCCACACCAACACATTTTATTTCAACTCATCTTAAACCAAGTAGTGTTGTGGTAAATGCATAGAATTTTCCCCCATTCAACCAGCAAACTATTAGCGAGAGAAAGGCAGTTGAGTGACTCAAAAGTGAAGCAGAGTCAACAAGAAGAGCTGCAGCGTTTCTGTGGTCTCTCTCAGAGATCCACCAATGACCAGCATGACAACAGCCCACCGGTCCATGCGTCCAGCTAACCCAGGAAACCTGCCTGTTCCCAGACAGGAGACTGTAAAATATACTTTTAAAAATCACTGAAGTAAAATAACAGAGTAGTTCAAATGAAAGCAAATGTGCTGACGAACTTTAAAAAATACTTCTCTTACATTTTTCAACAAATGTTTTGGCAGCAAAACATGATACCCTTTAGTACTTACAGGGTTACTTATGAAGCATTTATAGAGGTAAGTAGAGGCAAGTACAGGGTACTTAACAAGATGAGTACAGGAAACTGATGAAGATTTGCTGTCCAAACGTGAACCCTAAACGGCCAAAATAGGTGATGAGAACTAATCATTTGGTAAGCAGTTGGCATGAAATATTAACTGGTGGTTATGATTTTCCTAATGGACCAACAGGTGGCTCCAGTTTTTAAATGATTGCGTCTTTTTTATTAAATTCTGCTAATTTCAGCAACATGTTTGGACTTTTTAACTCCTAAAACAAAAGATGATTTCACTTGGATTGATGTATCCCACCTCTTTCTGTTCAGGATAATTCTGGATCTGACTTCAGGCTGATCCTCCATGCGCTCTTCCTCTGGCAGCACAGGCACTTCAGCAGGCACCTCCCCTTCACTTTCTGGACACACACACACACACACACACACACACACACACACACACACACACACACACACACACACACACACACACACACACACACACACACACACACACACACACACACACACACACACCGACTTTACCAAGCCCCGTATCAGTTATTATACCCCACCACAATGGTGCACAGCACTGAGAAGTCTGGTGTGAAAAAGGTGAGAAGTATCCAACTACTGTAGGGGCTCCAGGGGCATGCCTCGGTTACAAAAACAAAATATATCTGCAGGAGGAATGCCTGATCACTGACATGCTTCTGTCATTATTTACATACACTTATTTGCAGATATCAGCAAAGTACACACCGGAAATGCAGACTAAAAATATTTTTTCCATCGTCGCTTTGGAACCCCCTCCAAATGGAGTATACATCCCTTTCACTCCATACCCAGTTTTTGTGCCACTTACACATTTGTTTAATGAGCTTAGCTCCACCCACAGTCATCTCACCTCACACTAACTAAAGCGTGTGTTTGTTTTTCAGGCCTTACCCACAGCTCCCTTGTTTGCCAGGACCAGGTCTGGGATATCCTTCTTCTTTCTTACTTTCAGGCCAAACATCTTCTTCTTCTCCTTTCTGTTAAACAAGAGAACATTTTGCAGGTTTTTGTTCTGTGAGTCTGTAGAGTGAAATCACTTAGGGCTAGAAAAACATTTTCTAAGTCGCGTGATTACTTTTCTTCCTAACTACAACACTGTTGGTGGTTCGAACATTTTAGGCCATCACAAAGCTGCTTCTCACTTTTTTGAGTCAACTCATATCCCAGCATATACTATTTGTCAGTTTGTATTAGCCGGTTTGGAGACAATCAATCAATCAATCAAACTTTATTCGTATAGCTCTTTCCATACAAAAGAAAATGCAGCTCAAAGTGCTTAACATATTTAAATGACCCCATACAGGTTTGATTACTAACACTGACTAACTTCTTGTGTTTCCTCTTCAGTTTTCTTTTATTAATTCTTTTAAGGATACATTCAAATACATACATATTTGCATTACATTGATTACCACTGATTACTTTATTACAAACTTTGATGCTTTCCTTCAATTTCAATTTTTGCCAGTTACGAGCTACTGATTATTTTGCTCTTCATGTTTGATTGTATTTTAGCACAAAAGCTTTCACTTTCCCTTACACACGTTTTAGGGTTTTGTTTATTTTGTTCTTTTATGCATCACTTTTTCAGTACACGTAGTTTACTGCATCCACATATTGCAACTGACCTGTTTTCGCATAATCTCCACCATACACATGGCACATGCAGGTACACACAGTCCTAGTGTTTTTTTATTTGATCTTTTCCATCAGACGCCATCTATGTGGGTCTACAGTCAAATGCCCTGTGTGTGTGTTTTGATACTTTGCTGAGCATCGCCAGATGTCCTCACTTTCTGGGAATAATATCACTGCTTCATCGCCTGGTTCTTATTCCTACTGTCCTGGGTTCCGGTTCTTCTGGAGTTCTGGACGTTCCATGGTTTTCCTGCTATGGTTATCCTGGATCACAACGGATTGCTGTCGATCGATGTGATCTGGTCTGTTTCTACTCATGGCTCTGGATTCCTTCTCATCGTGGTCCCTGCGTGTGGATTTTACTAAGTGGGAGAACAGTTTGCTGATTGGGATATCAACTGTCTATCCTGCTGTGTGGGGATTTGCTGTTCCTCACTCCTGCTGCTTTAGTGCCCGAGAACTAACTCTGTCTTCCTCTGCTGTGTCATCATTGCCTCTAAGATTGTCCAACGCCTCGGGGTCTTCTGTCCGTGACCCCGTGACCTTGGAAAGGGAGGAGATGTAATGAACCAAGTGGTCAATTTTCACCTACATATTGATCACATAATAACCTTTCATTTACAGACAGGAAAACACCATCTGTTAGGCCCAAAATCCAAACATGCCTCTGTCCCAGTTGTTGCTACTGCAAGAAGACATAACAGTCTCACCCAAGGTCTCATGCAGACTCCTGCATTTTCACTCTGAGGAGAAGTCATCTGGAATTATAAATAACTTTACAATTTAAAAGTATAAATAATCATATGTGTTGAATGAACAAGATGTTTAAATCAAATGTTTGAATAATCTGTGCTTTAACCAATGATGGCTTTGAAATGAATATTGTTCCTGCAATGATCCATTTCAGATCTTAACTTCTCCAGATCAGGATGTGTTTGATTTAACAAGTAATCAATATCGACGCTGATACACATTATAATAAGATACCTATTAATGTTAATATTCACTTCACATAAGTGTTTTAAAACATTCTCATTCACAAAGTGTTAACCACCTTTGTATCTGAAGGAAGGCGTGGCTTCTGAAGGAATGTTTTGGTAAAGCCCTCAAACATGTCAAATTCTGATTTGCCAAACTTGCCAAAATTTATAAACAATGGGTTCAATAAAACAAAAATAACTTCCTGATTAATTCAGTTTCCAGCTGACTCCTGATTCGGCCAAATCGGGGAAGAAGCCTTCTGAAACCATCTTCTCTTTGACCATAAGTCAAAGTCTCTGCAACGCTGTGAGTGATACAGACACATCAGCTCTTTTCAGAGCTACTTCACACCTCAGACATCTAATCTGCAGACCCCGGGTTGCATCCCATGGTCGGTGAAGCTGAACTCAAAGGGAGCTACTAATCTTTGAGTCTCATGGTCCCGACATTCGGTGAATCACCACTTGGACCACCATCCCTCCGGATCGCCGGGAGCAATTCATACCAAGGGTATCGTAGCCTGCACACTGGTGTTGGATGTTTTTTTGTTTAAATAAACAAATCTGTAGTGTACTAAATAAACAGCCAATTCCCTTTTACAACCCAGACTTCACATACTCTCTCTGATACAAACAACGGTTTTGCTAAAACATCTAGCTTCCATTGCAACATTTCACACATCACATCACCTCATACCCACTACATTGGGTAACTAAACTAAATCATTAGTTTAGGAAAAATAATTAAATTCATTTTATAAACTATATACGTGATTCTGTCTGAATGAATACGAAGTGTGCTTATGGTCCATGAATAAGTAAAAGGAACTAGGACCTTCTGATTAAGCATTCAAAGATCAACCAGGTTGATATTTCATATTTATATGGAATTATCAAATCTTACCGGTCACATTATTAAATATGTACTGTCATCATCACGCTTCACCATATTCCCATCCCTTCCCCACAAATATAAAAACAATTGTGACAGTTACACCCCCATCCCACAACCCATTTGCCAGGCACACGCACCCACAGACACAGACACACACACACACACACACACACACACACACACATGCGCACACACAAAACCTAAAAAACAGAATAAATAAACACTAGGCTGAGTTCAGATGGGTTAGGTAATGAATGACACGCCATCAGGTGAGCCATCTGCCTCGGCAGTAGTTGATCGACAGAAGCAGCCAAGGCACCAACCCAGGGCGCCCAAGGAGGGAGGGCGGAAACCCCCACCATCGCATAAGCACACCCCTAGGAGCACCCAGGCCGCCACTGTTGACCACCACCACTGAGGCAGAGGGCTCCATAGAAGAAACACTGGTATGATTAAAATAAGTAAAATGAAAATAATTAATGTATTATATTATTAATATTAATAATAGTAGCGCATATGGAGAGTAAAATAACTAATACAAACTGATTAAAGAGATAGTA